TCATTGCCTCGTCACCGACACATGAACTCTTTCACTGGTTCATGTCGGCAGTGTCAGAGTTAGTCCTTATTTGAACTGAAATCGAGAATAGAAGATCAAAATGTGTAAAATTTTGAGACAGGGAAAATGCAATTTCTGTTCAAGTATATGAACAGGATAAGCAATTCTATCATTACAGGACAAAACGGTCATCTCCGACTAAGAATTCACAGTCAACAAAAACACTCAGCACATGATCATGGGAAAGCTGATTGCACCACGGCAACGTGGAATCAACCCCTTATAGATACAGATGCATTGACCATGTGTTTGCTACACAGCACTATCATTGGCAAACAGCAGCATCTAAAATTAGTAAAACTATATTTATCAAGACAAAATCAAAAAGTCAGATGTTCTCTACTGTATATATAGCTAACAATTACCTCAGTTATGTGACATCAAAAGTAACAAAACAAGCGACCATGTTTGATGATGTGCCTAAAATGTATTTACGTATCACAGTCTATTGAAGCCTCATTCAATCCAAATGTTTATGTAAGTCAAAATAGTTTCCTTCCAGTCTATTGAAGCCTCATTCAATCCAAATGTTTATGTAAGTCAAAATAGTTTCCTTCTTAACTTTTAAAACCTGAAGTACAAATCGATCACTAGTGTAATTCCTCATGTGAGATTAAAGAGGTATGCTTTACAGAAGGAACTAATAAATCTACAAAGTATGACATCAATCCCTAGGTAGTTTAAAAAAGTTTCGGCATTACTCACAAAACTGTGAAATCAGAATCCCTGGCAATCTGCAATCAGTAATAAAACACCTTGTAATAAACATATCAAGTAGAAACGTACAAAGCATCACATATATCCAGTTTCAATAACCAAATAAAAGAAGTTACATGGATTATTACCTTAATTTAGTTCACGACGATTCTGTCTCACTCATCACAAAAGCCTGAATTAGAGACTGGGCTGCATGGGTTTGTTCAGGTGTTCCAGATATTATAATCACTGTTTCTGTTGCCGCTGGCTTGGGGTCAGTAATTGTAATTTTTGCATCAGAAATCTGCAACAGTGATATTGTTATTGAAAATTTATAAAGCTATTGTTTGAATGTAGTTATCATTTGGAGTAATTCACAAAAAATTATTATTTTTGGGGAGTTATCCTGTAAATATAAGTGAGAAAAGCAGCTGAGAGGACTGTAGGTACTCATTGCCATACTCTTAAATGACAACAAGATCAATGGCCTTAAAAGGTGAAAAAATTCAAGTATAACAAAGAAAAAAAAACCCTGCTCTAATTTCTCTCTACTGATGAGTATAGAAGTGTAAATAAGCACAATTATGGATCTGTGCGTGCCCCTACTTTTATTAACTGAATTTCTATTCTTTTAATTTAAGGTAGTGAGTCTAAGTTAGCTTCCTTTTCCGCATCAAGGAAGGAAAGCATGATAAGAAAAGATGAAGTACCAGATTCATTAACATACCTGACGTATCTGTTTCAAACATGCACCATCTTCTCCATATATGGTAGGAACAAGAGAACGAGGAACAACAACTTCAATGGTGGTGCTTGTAATAATAGCTGGTTGGCTTCCTCTACATATCCATGGATTAAGGGAAACAACAAAACAATTGAGATATTGCCATAAGATAACTTGTAAACTAATACAGCTAGTAACAGCTAAATTTTGATTGATTTACCCTCCAAAACCAGAAATTCTTCGGTGGGGAGGTCCAGCAAAATCTGGCATGCCAACAAATCCCTACAAAAAAACACAGGAACACAAAATAAATTCACATCTTAACTAAGATTGTCACAAAATCTATTTAGTCTATCAACCTACTGCTTTACAATTTGTTTCTCCCATTTCAAATTTTAGAGCAGTCACCAACATTTTGTCATATGATTCCAATAACCAGATACAAAGAAGTAAACCACCACTATAAAATCTCATGGCAACCGAAAATACTAGAGAGGCTCATGTTGCTTAGCTATATGTGTAAAGAAAAACTTTGCCTTGCAAGGCAAGTAATACCACCCCAATACCTGAGGGGCCCATGGTTTTCTTTCAGTTATATGGGGAGGCATGCCTGGTCGATGAATATTGCGCATGAAAGGAGGATCATCATGGGGATGAAAACCACCATGTGGAGGTGGGCCACCAAAAGCATCAAAATGGTGAAATGGACCTAATCCTGGAGGTGAAAATTCCCTCCTTCCCATAAATGAAGGAAATGGGGGTCCTTGATCCAGGAAGGCAGGATTTGAAGGATGGTTAATAGAAGGGAATGCATCACGAAAGAAATGATGCCGCAGCCTAGTTGTTATTTGCAAAAGAGCCTCACAAACAGTGTCATGTTCTCCATTAATCTGCCATAACAAAATGAAGAATCAAAATGAGCAAGCACAACCTGAATCTGAAACTAAACTATGCTGGATCAAAATGCAAGCAAAGATATGTTTCACTATAAGTAGATAACATACACAAATACTTCATTACAGTCATCAACAAGATATTGTTACCATCTTTGTAAAAAACCAACGATGGTAACACCAAAATTTCCAAAGTTATACATCTTAAGAAAAACACATAAGCGCACCTGAACAACTTCTTCACCTTCTGAAGCACACTTTGGAACCTGATCCTTTCCCAATATACGAATATGAGCCCCAGTCGACTTCCTCATTTCAGCTATGATGGCACCACCCTTGCCAAGGAGACAACCAATTTGATTTGACGATACAAGAAGCCTGGCCATCAAAGTCTTGTCCTTGCTATCAGGTATAGCCCTATTTATCCTGGTATGCACACGGAATACTGCATCTTGTGCTGCTGATATCCTATCATCTGGGTGCTGAAATAATTATTTAACATCAGTCAATCAAAACCACTCTAATACTAACAACTAAGATAATCAAGAAATAGAAGATTAAATTTTCAAAATCTAGTCATATTTAAACATATCCAGAGAGCAAAATCATACCGCTGGACCAGATATGACAATTATGCGGTCCTCCGAGTCAGAAATACCTTCCACAACTTTGATCTCGCAGCCTGTCTCTTGCTGAAGAGTCTTAATTATTGCTCCACCCTTTCCAATAACACCACCTACTCTTTCTTGATGACACAATAACCGGAATGTTAGCATTTCCATAGAAGGCATCATTCTGCCAGGGATAAGAGGCGGAACAGCTGAATGAATATCAACGTCCCGAGGCCCTGCAGCAAAAGGTGGTCCTTGAGAACTAAAAGAATGGTTTGGTGGTGGGTGGACTTCAGGCCTAGGACCAAATGAATGGGATGACTGCCCTGATGGGTTGAGAGGGGAAGAGTCATGATCCCGAGGTGGATTTTCTATAAGCTGTTGAGAAACGGATTGAAGAGCTTTCCTAACTGCAGCAACCTCCCCCGTGATCTACAGCACAACCACAGAAGATAATGTCAAAAGTCCATAACAAATTATAAATGATACCTAATTCACATGTGGAATCATATGATAAAAAGTTTAAAGCTAGCAACAGCAATATAATCAAAGTTCAACTCTCAAATAATTGTTCACAAAACAAAAACAGGACTATTAAACCTAGCATCACTTCAATTTACATTCACCAGACCATATGGCACATTTGTAATAATAAGAGTAATATGGGAATTGAACATAAGGTACCTGAACTAGTTCATCAGAAGCTGTAGCACATGGAGGAAGTTTGTCTCTAGGAAGAATTCGAATCTGTGCCCCACTCTCAGTAGACATTTGCTTAATTACACTGCCACCTTTGCCAAAAAGGCAGCCAACTTGACTAGAAAGAACAAGTAACCTTAAAACCATCGTGAAAGACTTAACAGTTTCCTCATCAACTCCACCTAAATATGGCTCTGCTTCAATTATTCTTTCAAAAACAAGTAACAAGGCCTTCTGCACATATGAAGTTTCCTTTACGGATTTCAAATCTTTCACAGGATCAGAAATTTTATCATCATTGTTTTCACCATTTTCCTTTTCTTCATCACTCTGATTGGCTGCATTGGCCTCTTCACCACCATCCTCCTTCCCCTGCTCGATACTCACTCCAGCCTCTTTATCAGAAGATTCAGAACCCATGATGACAACTACTCTCTCATCACAACCAGGGACGACTTCCTCAACTTTGACCTTTGCACCAGTTTCCTGACGAATTTGTGATATGATGGTGCCACCTTTACCAATGACACTACCAGTTTTAGATGCAGGACATAGTACACGAAAAACAATACCACCAGGCAAAATTTTTGATTGCCCTGACTTTTGCAACTTTCTTTTCCCATTTGTCTCTGAAGGGTTCCTATCATGTGGTCTCTTGGAAGGCGTCAAAGGGGTAGACATGGTTCAGAAGTATATGAAAACACCTGTTTTACATTCATTCAAATGCAAATAAGAATTCCATAAAACAAAATTGGAACCTACAAAGAAAACATGACCAAAGTTCTTATTAGGATTATTCAGAAAATAATAAAAAAAAATCCATATCTTGCACATTAGGCAGCCCTTGAACACTTAGAATATCCAAATGTGAAAAAAAAACAAGTCAACTTATGTTCACCAGGCAATCTCCAATCTTTTCCAGATAACCAAATGCAATCAAACATTGCTGCCCAACTTTAAGGTAAAAACAAGAATTAAAACTTCTAAATTAGTTAGCCTGTAACGTCGCTCAAGACCACTCTAGGGGTCATTGTTTGGTAGCAGGATAAAAGTTTTAGACAGAGAAGCATGAGCTTGAAGATTCAAGCGTAAAGAACTAGGATTACGTTCATTCCATCACTCCCAACGACCCATTTTCTAGAAAGTTATATTACATACATTTGTATTAATCTCAAACACACTACCCCAATGGTAAAGAAAAAGTCATAGCTTCCTAATCCACGGATTACACCTATTCTCACAATTACTTTGAGTTCTACATTCTGGGGTTAAACAATGAACTCCGGATAAAGTCGAAGCTTTAAAATAATAGGGAATTCAAACTTTTAGGACCCTTTAACACTGAATTCCAGACTTAATATTTAAGGTAGAACAAACGAACAAACTCTAACCATAATTCATTAAAATAATAAACATTAACCAAAAAAAAATACGAGAATATTAAGTAGGTGAAGAACTAAATAAACTCACCGTTTATTCGACCATCCAAAGAAGCAAAACCCAAAAGGAAAATTAATTTACTGATAGCTTCGGGGGCAATGAAGATTGAGAATGGATGAGATTCAAACAAGAGTTCCTTAGATCCTTGGACTAGGTTTCTGTAGTGCCATATTTCATTTTTGCCTGTTTTTGTGACTTGATGGGCCGGCTTCGGGTGGATTTTCCGGGTTCAGATTATGGGCCATTTCTTTTAGAGGATACTCGGACTCACTCGATCAGCCCAGGTCAATGAGTTGCTACTGCGTTCATGCAGAAAAAACCTCATTAAAAAAATCTTTTCATAATAAAATCCAATGAGATAAAATTCATGAAAAAAAAAAAATACCCTTTCGTACTTGTCTATTTCATTAATCAGGGGATCTTGTAACCCTTCCATCACAACCAAACTATTAGCTACACCTCACGTAAATCTTGCAAAACAATATTTGCTATGTTGTTCGGCATATCTGCTGCATTTGTCCAAAAGACTTCACCACTCATCAATGTCTTGTCGGCCCCTCTGACACGATGAGTAATTACTGGACAAGAAATCCTTTCCAACTGCAACAAGCAATCTTCCACGATGTGGCGCAGCTGACTTGTACTTCTACGGTTTTTCACCCAATGAACCACCTCTTTGCGATCAATCTACTTCCAATAAATTTTATAATCCTTATCATCACCTTTCCATCAGTATCTACCATTAACAGAATCAATTTCAGCACATAAAATGCCTAATAATTTATAAAAAAAAACTCATGACATAGATTGGGATCACTTAGGTCACTATTTTTATAATATTTAATTAAATTTTTATATTTTTATTTTAAATTAAATATTTTTTTATAATTAATAGTTCATTAAATATTATTAGTCAGTATACTATATATCATTTTATAAAACGCAATGCTAACATAATATATTATTATGTCATAATATATGATGACGTGATATATTAGTTTTGTATGATAATATAATTACATGATATTTTTTACATTTCATAATAACATCATATTTATATTTTTATTAATAATAATTAATCAACTATTAATCATAAAAAATTAATTATATAAAATTAAAATATAAAAATTTATTAAAAATTTTTAAATAATTTAAAATTTTGTTCAAACATCATATCAAAAGTTACATATGACAAGTTATAATGAATTTTGAATGATAGCTCATTACCCATCACTTGAAAAGTGATGAATGTGGAAAGTGTTCAATCTCTCAAATATGAAGCATTGTGATTGTTGGAGAAATCAATTTTAAGAACAAACAAATAATTTGAAAAAAAAAGAAAGATTGTTAAGAGAGGGAAAAGAAAATGGCACAAGAAGATGAAACGATACAACATTTAATTAAAAAAAAAAGTAATATGTTGATATAATATAATTATATAATTATTTGATACTGTAGTGAATATTGAATGATAACCAATTATTCATCACTAAAAAAGTGATGAACGTGGAGAGTGTTCAATCTTCAAATTTAAATAATTGTAATCGATGGAGAAATCAATTTCAAGAGACAAATAAATACTTTGGAAAGATTATTAAGAGAGGGAAGAGAAAATGATGCAAAAAGACGAAATGGTCCAACTTTAACAAAAAAACATAATATGTTGATGTCATATAATTATATGATATTTTTTATTTTTTATGTTAATGTCATATAACTATAAATATTAATTATAAAAATTTAAATAAATTTAATTATAAATAAAACTTATTTAAAAAAATTAAATAATTTAAGAATTCTTTCAATCGTTATGCAAAAGTTATTTATGACGAGCTATAATAAATATTGAACTATAACTCATTACCAATCACATAAAAGTGATGAATGTGGACAGTGTTCAATTCCTAAAATTTGAAATATTTTGATGGTTGGAGAAGACAATAAATATCTTGAGGGAAAAAGAAAGAAAGATTATCGCCAAAGTGAAGTGAAAATGGTGAAAAAATACGAAACGTTGCAATTGTTTAACAAAAAGAATAATATTTTGATATAGTTATTTAATATTTTTTTACCTTTTACCTCAATGTGACGTTATGTGATTATAAATATTACTTATATTTTTATTAATAACAGTTAATTAATTATCAATTATTAAATATAATTAATAAACAATTTTAAATTTTTTTACAAATATTAAATATTAAATGATAACTCATTACCTATAACTAGAAAAAAATATTGAATAATAACTCATTACTTATCACTAGAAAAGTAATAAACCTGAAAAAATGATAAATCTTCGAAATTGAATCGTTATAATTATCACAAAAATAAAATTTCAGAAACAAATAAATACTTTATAAAAAGAACATTTATTAAGATAAGGGAAAGAAAAGAATGCAAAGAGACATTTAACCATCTTAACATCCAAAGAATGGAGACTTTTTTTCTCAATTCTCGTAGAACTTATCGATTCGGTACTTGCTCATGGCTGACCACACTTTTTCTCTTCTATCTATTCGTATCAATGACTTCTCTCGTATAATTCATGACTCACCAACAAGATCATTTGAGATTGATATTGGACCAAAACAAAAGATGGGAGAATAAAATAAACACAAGACTACACCATTGACTTTAATTGAGCTTTGTATTTTTCCAAATTCAAAACGGTTGTAACTTGGGTGTTGGTTCATACTTTGTATTTTCTTTTTAATTATTTGATTGGATTGAAAATTCTTCCTTATTTCAGAAAAAAAGAAGAAGAAAAGCCATGATAAAGACCTCATGACTTGCACGAAAAGTAAATAAAAGAAAAAACGGAGTGCATAAATTGATTTAAATTAATTTAATGATAAGGATAGAAATTTGATCAATTACTTAACAAAAGCAAAAGATGAGTATTTTAAAGTGAAAAAGAAATACGATAAATAAGAAAAGACTAAATATTAATATATGAAATTCCTGAATTCTATCATTTTTTTTTCCAAGTGGAATGTAAGTTAACTGTCAACTTGATTAATTAAGAATTAAGGAGAAGAAGAATAAAGTCAAAAGTTAGGAATATTTTTTGGGTCAACCAAAAATTTCCAAGTCGCGTAAGGGCTTCACTGTCTTTTTCATTTTTTTATTCGTTTTTAATTTTCAAATTTCTTTGGGCCAAAGAAAGAAACGAATCGGCAAATAAGCCCAATCGACGTGGCATAATAAGTACGAGGAGCTGAAAAGCTACTTAGCCAGCAAGTTTGTTCTTAACAACTCTTCGTTCTCGAAACGTATATCGCGGGTCCCAAGAAATCTGTAACCGCCTCAATTTAATAGAATTATGAAATATCATAAATACCCTCGTTCATTTTGGATTACCGACCTTAACGGCACTGAAAACAGATACCTAGTTTTGTAATTTAATATGAACCCTATTCCGACTTCACCCGGATTCCGTCCCGACGCGTTTATATAGCGCGGGTTCCAGTTGCACCGACTCTCGATTCCAGCAGTTCTGGCGTGTATCGTTTGAGAATATTGAGTAATATTTGTGTTATAGTTTCAGAAAATTCAATGTCTCAGCCAGCAGCAACGACGAAGAATCTGGTGGAATCAGTTGGGGATATGGTTGCTCCTCCTCCACCGCCACCATCGTCTTCATGGAAAAGTTCAAGAAAATGCGCCTGCCGTCGAAGCTCGAAACGAATTGCTTCACAGAACAGAGCGAATTTCGAAAAAAGCGCTGCTCCTTTCCTGTTCATGTACTATCGCAATAGTTCTTGGCTGAATTTCTCGGAGGATGTTGTGAAAACGCTGCGAGCCGGTTTCTTGGAACGGAGACCGATTATCGAAGCGTCTATCGACGGCGCGAAGTATTATTTTGACTTGAAGAGGATGGTGCAGATCGATTACGTGACAGGAAATCAACGATCGATTTCTTGGATCGATGAAAACCACAAGTGTTTTTTCCCTAATATTTTTTTCAGCGAAGAAGAAATTACGGAATCCGAAAGTGAAAGTGTAAGCGGTGATAATATTGGCTGCAATTACAAAGCTAATAGTAACAATTGTAATGCTAAGATTGAGATTGAGGTTAAGATTGATGGAGCTTCATCGAAGAGAAAACGAGAAGAGCCTGAAGTGAGTTCTGCTAACAAAGCCGTAGATGTGATTAAACGTCAGCGTTTGGAGGATGGGGGAGCTGCTAGGTGGCCTGACTCGTTGCTGTTGAGAGAAACAGAAAAAGCGTATGTGGTTGTTAAGGGTCATTTCTTGAATGGAATGAAGAAAGCTGATGATGGGGTTACGGTTACTTCAATTCATCAGTGTAAGCATGAAGGGCATTTGAATAAGGCTCGTCGTAAGGTTTTTGAGAAGCAGGTTGGGATCACTAAGTCCGCGAGAGGTACTTCAAACATAGTTTATGCCTGGTATGGGGCTTCCGCCTATGTTGTGGAGAGTGTTCTGGCTCATGGGTTTGGGATGCCCAGCATTGTTCCCGCAGCTGACGTTTGCGGGGTTGGCATGTATTTGTCGTCTTTTCAGTTGCCACAATTGAGGTAGTTGATTATTTCTCTCGTTTATTGTTGAGTTAGGTACTTATCTTTTCGTCGGTGGCCGCCGCTGTTTTGGCTCATCTCTATAGGTTTAATTACTCCCTAATATGTTTTTTTATCTCCTTTGTTAATTTTTAATTTTTATACGGTTTTTTGGCTCTGTTTGATTGGATTAATTCTGCCAGTGCAAAACTGGCTGATGCTGACGGTAATGATGTAAAACATCTTATTCTGTGCCGGCTCATATTGGGAAATGTCGAGAAATTGGAAGCAGGATCTAAACAGTGTCACCCATCTAGTGTGGATTTTGACACCGGTTCTGATGATCCTGAGAATCCGAAATGGTATGTGGTATGGTCAGCTAAAGCGAATATGCATATTATGCCCGAGTGTGTTGTGAGTTTCAGAGCTTCTGGTAACATTCAAGGTAAACTTTTCTAGTCTCCTTGTATCTGTTTTTTTTTATTCTTCATATATATTGGAAGTTAATATTTTGGGCATTTTCTTGTAGGTCAACCTAGGCCTGCAGCTGGTGTTGGATATTCCCTTGAGAGATTGTTTTCAAAGATTAAGAGCTGTCTTCCTCCTGCCAAAGTGCGGGAAATATGGATTTCATACAGCACATTCAAGGTAAGAGGCTGCATGTCTATTAGATGAAGATGTTTCTTGTTGCTTATAATGGATGTTGGGTTTAAACTATGAACACATTTTTATCCTTTCAATTATTAAAACAGGCTGGAAAGTTGGCTAGGGATGCTTTTCTAAGGCACTTACGACTGGTTGCTGGAGATGGGGTTCTAAAATCTGCTATTCTGGAAATTAGTGCTTCTCGATGATCTGGAAGTTTGGAATTGTTTTTAGTTACTGATTTCATTTGCCTATCCTGTTGGACAAAAAAATGTAATTGTTACCTCACAACTAGGATAGGAAAGGAGATGCTTAGACCACAGAAACAACATAACTTGTTCTTACATTTTTTTTCTTCATTTTTTCCTTTTTCTTTAACCCACAGTACATTGTAGTAGTTTGATTAAAGACATTAAGAAGTTTACAATTTCAGTTAGTGAGTTTTTCCTTTTCTCTTTTTACTATAGATTTTATTTTGTGGACTCTACACCTTCTAAAGATTGCAGTGTGGAGAAGGAATGAGCATTGAAGTTTTTGATAGTTTTATTCAGGCTGCATCCTCATTACATGCACAGATGCTACATTCTGGACACATTCATACTATTGACAAGCTTATAATCTGAGATGAACTACTTTATGAACTAAAGCTGTAAAATCACATCATCTTTCTCTTTACTTGTCAACATTATTACTTTACCTTAAGCTGTTTCATATATGTCTGGGTTCTTTTTTTTTTTTTTTGGCACTTGAGGCTTTATCTAAAGCACAATTCTTAAATACTTAACAATTCATTGGTGTCTGAGTATTGAAACTTGTCGTTTCCCTGGTATCTTTGTTTCTGTTCAGAAAAGCATATGATGTGGTTCTATCAAGTCTTTTGGTATAACAGTTTAAAAGGGATTTATTTGGACCTGCATTATGATCTACAGTTAATGAGTAATGGCCTTTGATTATACTAAAGTTGATTGTTTACATTTTGTCTTTTGCTTCATTTCAAAGAAGCAGATGATTATAGGTGTCAAACAACTATGATTTATGAAATTGTACTTTTGGCTTTTGCTACAGATGATTGTAGGCATCAATATGGGATAAACATGTCACCTTGGGTATATTTTCGCATGGCTCATTAGTTGTATTTTTGTCCATTTGGTTTTATCTAAAGTTATATTGTTGTATCTGTGCTGGAGTTTGAAGCAGCAGATGAGGTGATGTTAAACTGGGTTATGTTGGTATTGTTTTGTTGGCTTTTCTTACATATATACCCTTGTGTGACAGATTCAGACCTATTGAATGAGGCAAGGAAGACTACTTGAACAAGAAACTAAGCCTGAGTGCTGAGCTTCCTTTCTAGTTAAGAAGGTTATACCTGTGTTCAGGTGTTGATTTGACGTCATTTATCTGTGTTTATTTACTTTTTGTGATGCTTATCCATCTTTAATAAGGAGCTCATTGGGGAGAGTTTTTTTGTAGCCATCATGAGACTGTGGAAGCTGCCCAACGCATGCAAGATGTCAGGGGGTTTTGGCTAAAGGCTTAACGAGGTTTGCTTAATTGAATAAGCCAGTTCAGCATAATATGTATGATTATTGTTTGACAATTGTAGGCTTTACTCTTGAATTTTTTTTTTTAACTTGCATATTGATGTGGTTTATGTTTGGTGTACTTTTCACTCTACTTAGTTCTTGATTTGTCAAGATTTTATACAAATATTTACTAAGTCACATTAATCCAAAACAGTTAATTTATCTGGTGCAAACGGTAATATCTGCCTAGAGGAACTAGAGATACTGCAAGTAGTTTCTTTCTTTTTTTGTGTTTTTGGCCCCCACTTATGGAGCATGCTTATAAGAAGGATTATTATTAAACCCAGAGGTTTAATAATATTCACCTATGCTATATTTTAAGTTGCTCATATATTTATGAATAGGAAAGCTTTGGTTGGTTGATGTCATGTATCGTGGTATGTTATCAGGTCAGAAGGTGGTCAAAAATGTTTGCTTAAAGCATTTTGCATCAACAACGGGGGTGTCATCAGTTATTATTGATCTCTATTTTAAAGAATATATGTCCCCTGCACCCTCCCTTTTTCCTTTTGTGTTCATGTTATTGTGGTATTTGGGGAAGGTTGTTTTCCATTTGAGTTTTTCTGAAATGAAATCAATGTGGATAGGCTGTTTTCATGGTGATTCGTATGCTTTATTTGTTCTTAAATTTTTTTTAATTTGTTTATTTCTTTTGTCAATAGTTGGAGAGTTTTGCACTTCCATTTTATCTGTGAAATCATTAATTCATTCAAGCAAGCAGTCGTTGGATAATTGATAGGGTTAAAGGATTATCACACACTAATTGAAGTATATTTAAAAATAACAATAATAAATTAATATGATAAATGAAAAAACATTGTAGTAATATTCTAACTTTGTTTATGAATGGAAGAATGAATAATAATGATAGGTTTTAGTACTTACGGATTAATAATGTTGCTTGGATAGCCCATAGCCCCTTGCATTTTAGTTCTCCATTTATTATTGTTATAGTTATCTTTAATCGTCTTTGGAAAGCATCATGCACAATTTACCTTTATTTTTTCTTTTTAATATGGAAAGGGAGAGGTGAACTTCCGAAGTGAAACTAGCTAATGCTTTTACACCAGGAGCATGATGAAGGTATGTGAGAGCAAAATATCCTGTTAAAGCACATGGTGGGACTTGAAAAGAGGAAACTGTCACACTGAGTTTGCAACAAAGATTTTTCAGATGTTCTCTTCTGTGTAGCAGAAAGGAACGTTCATAATATTTGAAAATAGAGCGATGCCTCGCCTCCCCATTTGCCTCAGCAGCTCTTGATACAACTAAATGAACAGAATTAAAACCATCCGTAGAAGGAAAACTGGCTGCCTTTCCTAGCAAGGGCATCAGCACATCGATTCAACTCCTGAAAAAGATATACTTTACTGGCTTCGGTACTGTTCATTGGAGGGAGAGACCTGCATTTCTGGAATTTGAGCTAAAAGACTGATAACTGCATGTCGCATCCAGCTCAAATTTCTAAATTCCCTTGATTAACTTATTTAGATAAAAGCTAAACCATCCCTGGAGGCCCATAACTCAGCTTCAAGGCCTCAACGTTAGCAAACGTCGACCATGACAAGAATCTGAGCAACGAAGAAGTGTACTAAATTTTGCAAATGTATGGCCAATTTCCTCATTATGATTGGACTTTATTTCTCCAAGAAGAGAAATGAAGTGGAATGCCAGCTGTGCAGTCCACCAACTACAAAAAGACCCCATACCTCGATTGCTTGGAAAAAGCATATAAAAACGAAATACTACATACATTTGCAATCAATTCTTCGTCCTTCAGTTGACTTCTGGACCATAACCATTTGTTTGTTTCTTTATCGTTTTATCTTCTATTGCCCGACACATTTAACTCATTCCTGCCAACTGCAGAGTCTCAATGAAACATCAGAAGAAAGATTTCTTCCATCTCATAAACCAAAAGGAAATTACTTGAAATATGTTCACTTTTACATTTTAGGGTTGTATAAGTAGTTCCATTCAATTTTTATTCAGAAAATGACAAATATGTTGAATTTATGCTTGGCAGATTAAGCAAAGGACCCCAAAAGCAGTGAAGTGCACTAATAGCGATGATGGCCTGGCCTGCTTTGCATTATGATTTGCACCCCTCGAAAGTTGGAGATGTGTCCTTGCTTGTTGGACAACTGTATCCAACTATAGGGGTTGAGAATTAATGGCAAAGCAAAATTTCTCATCACTAAAATCACCCGAACCAAACTTGCGTCCCCCATTTCAGCTCTTTCGAAACAGTCAATGTCTTGCTGACAAAGGGTCTGTGAGCAATGGCATGGCAAGTACTGACAGCCAGGTAATGAGGTTCCTTCTAGTTTCTCAATTATTAGGTGCTTTAAACCTCTTAAAATTTGCAACAAAAAATTGTCGGAAAAGTCAAGTTTGCTAACGGAAGCAATGTTGCGGTGGGAAATGATGGTGGTTGATAAGCAGCTTTGTTACACCACACCTTTTCTCCCATATCTTCCATTCATATCCAACAAAAGAAATTGGAAGGAAATTAATATCAATATCAATGTCAAGGTCTTGAGTGCCCAACTGTCTAAGTCATGTACAAAATACAAAGAGTTGTTGTGTAAAAAATGCTCAACTTGAGTTGGTCAGCCATCCATATTGAATTCCCAACCTAATCCACTTGATTATAGTATATCTATTTTGTGTGGGAAGACATTACCGAACTAAGGAATCCCGTGTTTGTTTCAATAAAAATGTGGTAAAAGGGATTGGAAAACAAGAAGAAAGAAACCAGAGGGAATGACCTAATTAGCTCAATGTGGATATCATTTTAAGCTACATCAAAAAGATGAATCTTTCTCGTTCTGTTAATCTTAACTTTTAGTTTCAGGTTTTTAACTCTGGGAATGTGATGAACCCAAGCTGCCAACCATGGAGAAAATACTTCCAAATGATTTTCAGCACCAACATGTTGGCAATTGGCACCATTAGAACTCGTGGCTGCTCAGCCATGCATGCAGTCTCATTCTTCAGTGATCCATCCTAAGATCATAGGAAAAGGAAAGGTCTGAAAGACATCAACAAACAAAGAATCAGAACATCAAAGTCCCTAACAATTGGTGGCCGCTTTGCTAATGCGAATATTTTTAAAAGTTATCTCAAATTCCGGAGAGGTCAAGCAAACATACTCCATGGATAAGGCTGCTTTGTTTAGGGTAAAGAGATTAGCAAAGGCTAAACTAAATAAGAAAATAGTCTCATGTTTTCCACAATGGTGGAAAACGACGTGAAGTGGTCCTTGGTGTGTTTTTATGATGACAGTATATAATGGCAGTCATGTTCAGCTACGAGAAGCATCCATCATTTTCAAAAGGTTTTGCCAGATTTTCCATTAAAGTTAATTGAATTAATAATTCAGTACTTGCTCCTTTTTTGTGTAAAAAGTATGGTGTTATGTGCCTGTGGTTGTGGCTGATGGTATCCAAGTGCCAAAAGTCTTCTGTCCGCGCATCATGACAAATCAACTTTTTCCATTTCATCACTTCTTGTTTTTTATTTTAAAAGGTAAATTAGAATTTTCATCTATTTAAGTGAAAATTTACAAAATTATTCCATAGAATGGTAGTGTATTAAGACAGCATAAAAGCGACATAAAAAATCACTTATTTACTTAACATGTTTAATAAAAACAAAAATAAACTAATCCGATTGTAATAAGATCACACAATCCACACAATCAAACTATCCCACCCCAACAAAGAGTTCATCCTTTCTATACACTCGTTAAACTATATAAATTATTGGGTTTTGTCCTCTTTCTCCTAAAACTATATATAAATAGAAGACAGATTTGTAGGGCCAAGGTCACAACAAAAATACAAAGATAAATCTTAGAAAATTTTTTCAAAGTGGAGGAGCCATCTGGCCAAGGTAAGATCTGCCCATCCGGCCTAAGTGGACCTAACAGGTTAAAAGATAGCATTAATAAAAATTTATTACATCCACATCATACCCAATGAATCAGACTGTGACTAACTCCACCTTTGTTTAATAACAATAAGCACATAAAAATATAACATATTGACACTCGTTTATAAAGAGCTCAATATCCAATGCTTATCCAATTGCAATTGGTGTATACTACATTTTGGTAGGAAATATTTTTTTACCTTCTTCCAAGCTTTAAAAAAAAAAAATCAACTCTAATTTATTGATAAAAACATTTATAATTAAACTAAATATTCAGATGCTTGAAATTTGAGTTATATTATATAATTATTGATCTTAATGTGTTGTTAATGTTTGGTAAGATGGCATTGATTCCACTTCATGGTCAACTAGTGAGTTTGGTTCGAAATTTGGTGGCTTCTATACAGGGCAACAAGAAAACAAAACAAAAAAAGATTGATCAACTTTGTTAGAATCATGGGTTTTGCATTTTTCAACTTGTTCAATAAGTGCTTACGTTTCAATGTCCAATCCCAAGTATTTCCTAACCTTTTGTACAAGTTATTCCTAACACTTTTTTCTTCGAAATTGTTAATCATTGAAATGAAATCAAAATTAATGTTGCACTTTCACTCAATCATAGACCCACATTTTAACTTTAATCCTATTGCTACTGTACAATTGTGTTCTCTTTTATTTAATTACTTACTTTTTTTTTTAATTATTGACTAAATCATTCGAATATGAAATATTATAATTCAAGTCACCTCTAACAGAGTTTTTTTGGAAAAAATCAAATAATTTCTAAGAATTAAAAAAAATTTGCACACATATATTTATGTCATACACTTTATCTTAAAAAGAAAAAAAGGAAAATGTCTTTAAAATTTTCTTATTTATACATGAGGTTGATTAATGATTATGTGTCAAACCTTATCCATGAATTTGTAACTCATTTCTATTTGTGAATTTATCATTTTATCTTATTTATTTAGAGAACAAAATTGATGATGAAAAGTCGGTCCAAAAATTTTTGCATTATCTAGAAAAGAGCCGGAAATAGTAAATTGAGTTATCCCGAAAATGAATCCCAGGTGTCACCACTAATACGCCACGTCATAAGCTACCTTTCCGTGATATATCTATCTGCCACATGTGGAAACGCATCGGCATCGCATCACGGGTCACGATTTGATTATCAAGTTCAAATCAAATCAAAACGCGTCCAGAACCTAAGCCAAAAAGCAAGCGAAGCATCTAATCCAAACTCCTCCTCCTCCCCGAAAAGGTGTCCACAATCAAAACGCCTATTTATACACGCGTTTTCCGTCACCAAACCCCAAACGCACCCATATTACTATTTCCCATTCTCTTCATCTTCTTCCTTCTTCGTTTTTTCCGTTTAACCGACTCTCTGAATTCTCGGGGATCTTGTTTTTCCTTGCATTCCTCTGTATTTACCTAATTTTTTACTCCCATATGAGGCTGAAGGAAGAATATTCTCATAACGTCGATGACTACGACGACCAGGTTTCTGAAACGATGTCGCAGCTTTCTGTCGGAGCTTTACAACAACAACAACAACAGAAAAACGTTGTTGTTGTCGGTTACGCGCTTACTTCTAAGAAGATTAAGAGCTTTTTACAACCAAAGCTTGAAGGTTTAGCCAGGTGAATCTCTGGGGGGCGGGTTTCATTTCTTAAGAAAGGTTTTTTTGTTTTTTTAGGTGTAGCCGGAGATTTTTTGTACACGTTTATCTTCTTTGGTTGATGGTTTTGGAATCTAATGTTTGGATTCTAAGGTGTGAGAATATGCTGCCAATTTACGTCGTTATCGTTTTGGTTTTCAGGAAAATGAAGTAATTTATGTGAATATTACATCAAACTCGTTTACTCTAATGAGTCAAAGATTTTTTATTTTATACTAAATATGTTTATTATGTTGATAATAATATGTCATTTTCAGTATTTACTTGGAATCAATTCATGAAGATATTTAATATTTATAGTATTTTTTGAAGCAAAGATTTTGACTTTGGTAATGTATGATGTACATATTGAATTTGCTACTATTACTTAGTCTTTTCTGTTATTGTTACTAGTATTTGATTTAGTCTACATTTTTTGCTGCTATATGACCTTCTGCTAAAAGTAAAATATGGGTCCTAAGTTCTTGTGTTTTTAAAAGAAGGGATGCGGTTGTTTTGTACCTTGATAGGAGAAAAAGGTTGGATTTTGCGGTTACTATTAACCCTTTGTTGCTGTTCATGTGTTGGGTCTTTTTTTTTTTTTTTCTGTGTGAGTAACCATGTAAAATGCTGGAAATGGAGCAGGAATAAGGGGATATTATTTGTTGCAATTGATCAAAACAGACCTCTTTCGGATCAAGGTCCTTTTGATATTGTACTGCACAAGGTTGGTAAATACTATTTCTTATATTTCGTGATGACATGAAAAAAAAAAAAAGAATGGTGCAAACAAGTACTTGCGCTGGCGTGTCTGACATAAAATGGCCTGTTTTTGTTTCTGGTGCAGTTGACCGGAAAAGAGTGGCGCCAAATTCTTGAGGTTGGTCCAAATCCTAGATCCTACAGTATAATTTTTTTTTTTTCTTTTGAGAAGGATGGATATCTTGGAAATGATCGACTATGAAGCCACTGGTCTTTGACATATTACGTTGTCATGTTGATGTGTTTTTACATGTGAGGAACCATATAACCCAGTGACTGGTGACAGACAATTGCTTTGTGTTTAAATCTCATTAGTGGCTGACATAATTTGCAGACTGCTTGCTCTTTCCTTCCTCATGAAACCTGACTTGATAATTGAGGTCGAGGCCTTAAGCTTCCAGCAAGTGAGGATGTTTCTACTTCCATGGCCATCTAGCTGATTTTTCAGGTTTTCCTTAGCATTACCTGCAAAAAAACTTTTTCATTGTTTTGAATGGCTTCATTTGTCCTGGGTATTACCCTTTTATCCTGACTCAATCCTACTAAGGGCAGGATCTGGTGTACCTCTAGTATTTGCTATATCATGCTTGAGGACTAAATTTTGCAAGTGCCTCCCTCATTACTCCATTTTTGGCTGCTTGATGAAGTGTCTAGTAAAACAATTCACTTCTCTTATTTGCAAATATCCAGCATTGGTTCTAGGATTACAGTGCCAAACCATCTGACCTCAGCTAGGTTCAAGTTCTTATGTTCAAATTTATATCAGTTATGCTTTGGAAGTTGGGTGTGCTGTTTTTGTCGTAATTTTTATGCCGAAACATAAATGTTTTAGGGAAAGTTATCGTTGAAATTTCTGTAGTTTATCTCAGTTTATAATTTTCCGTTTTTGGAGTTGGGGTTTAGGCACCTGATTTCCTTGGAAACTAATGGTAGAAAATGAGTTCAATTCATAACCAAAATGGCCCGCGTTTTCTTTTCTAATTCTATTTTGAGTCAATTCTTTCAGATAAAAGTGTAGATACTTTTTCATAATTCTAGCGCTGGACTAACCCATTCTTCTTAAATAAGTATCCTTCTTTTTTTATGCAATATTTTTGAACTGTCAGCTTTTACTTTGTATTGTGACCTTGTATTGATGTGCATTATCAGATGGTTCCATGAGTTTTATGTCACTTTATCTTAATAATTTCTCAATTATGTGTTGCTGTGTTTGTCTAGTTATTTAATGTGCTTTACATGTGAGATTTAATTTTTCCTCTTCTTTTTGGGTGGTGGGGGTGGGGTGTGGGGTGGGGGGTTGGAAATGGGGTCCACCTTACCTGTTGCTTTGCTTTCTTAATTATCTTGTAGCATGTGTGGGCTGTTTTCAACTTTCAATAGTTCAGTGTCGGCATAAGTTTAGGTGGATAGGATTCATATGTTACAACCAGAGGATGATTTCTTAACCACAGTGCCTAATGGAAAAAACAATATAGTGAGCTGCCTTGTGAGTTTGCGTCAATGCATGACTAGATAATGCATGTGAACCAGGAATTATGAAGTATGTTAGGTGTCCCTTTTATAAGCTCTTCTTCTGGAAAGAATTGACTATAAGCAAAAGTGAAAAGCAAGGAAACGTTTTCTTTTTCTTTTTCACCAAAGGATTGTAAAGCGTTTGGTTCTGGACAGTAATATATTTAACATTTACTTGTAGAAAAATTGCTGTCTCAAGGGTTATTAGTTTGCTAATTACACGTTTGTCTTGAGACCAATCCATCTTACAATTTCTAACTTATAATTGCAGGAATATAGACGAACACATCCAGAAGTCACAGTTCTTGATCCTCCTGATGCTATACAACATTTACACAATCGTCAATCAATGCTACAATGTGTTGCAGATATGAATTTATCTGATTCTTATGGTAATTTAAGCCATAGTTTTTTTGGTTGACATCGGAATTTAGAATCCAATGGGAGTAGGCTTTTCTTCCTTACTGGCAACTTTCCAGTTTTTGATGAAAGATTTACAAATGAACTCCAAAGCTGATCAAAATGAATGTTTATGTTTTACCATGCAGGAAAAGTTGGTGTTCCCAGGCAATTGGTCATTAAAAGAGATGCATCATCCATTCCTGATGCTGTAGCCAGAGCTGGGTTGACACTGCCCCTTGGTGTGTAGATTTTTTCATGTGGTGTTCTAATATGTTGTACCATTCTATAGTGTCCATTTAAGTTACACATAGTCATTGGTATGCTGTGCATTCGACTTAATAATCTGTTTCATGTGGTGTATATGTTACCTGTGAGATCTGCTTGGGACTGTGGCTGGACTTGAATCATAAGAAGCGTAGAGATGCTTTTGCTCGATCATGCTCCCAAGTCATGTGATATACTTTAGGATATCACTTTTTCTTCTTCGTCTGATCCAATTTTCATGTCACTTTTTTCTAAGCAAACTTGCTTATTTCCGTCTGTTTCAGTTGCAAAACCATTGGTTGCTGATGGAAGTGCAAAGTCACATGAACTATCACTTGCTTATGATCAATACTCCCTTCAGAAACTTGAACCTCCACTTGTTCTTCAGGAATTTGTTAACCATGGTATGCTACTGCAGATTCTGTAGAGACTAATAACCATAGGCCAAATTTTCGTGATCCATTATTAATTGCTGTACTGTTTTATATATAATGGCTGTAGGAGGTGTTCTCTTCAAGGTTTATATCGTTGGAGAAGCTATTAAAGTGGTCAGGCGTTTCTCTTTACCTGATGTAACTAAACGAGAGCTCTCTAAAAATGCGGGTGTTTTCCGGTTTCCACGGGTTTCCTGTGCTGCAGCTTCTGCAGATGACGCAGATTTGGACCCTAGTGTGGCTGGTGAGTTGTCCTGTCTAAGAATAGCTTTTCTTCTTTGCTACTTTCTCAATTCTGCTTGTCGGCAATTTTCAACGTGAATGTTTGATCATGTGATTGGACTTGAAGTGCTTATGACGAAATTTTCATAGTTGAGTGAAAAAAAGTTATAAAAGCTGAATAAACCCTCAGTTCATTGCAGCTTTTCAGATAATTTCATTCAACACCATGTGATGTGTCTCAGTAAAAAAGGAGATGCTGCTTTGAACTGTGCTGAAGTGTGATGTCTTAAGTCATGCTGTTAGTATCTTTGTGCGACCTCTTACATATGTTTTTCCTCCTGTTGCAGAGCTTCCTCCTCGCCCTTTACTTGAAAGACTAGCCAAAGAACTTCGACGTGGACTGGTAGGTTTTTTAATTTTGACTATTAGTTTCCTGGTCTCTACATACCAATGTGTGGATCATGCTTATAATATGTATTTCTATGCAATTATTTTGTTACTATAGGGTCTTCGGCTATTCAACCTAGACATTATCCGGGAGCATGGAACGAGAGATCATTTTTATGTCATAGACATCAACTACTTTCCTGGCAAGTGAAACTTCTACTGTATAAGCATCATGGGGGCAGTTTTGGACTTGGTGTAAAGCCCCTTTTAATTCTTTGTTCGAACCACCTCAGACATGCTGATTTGCTCTGCAATTGTTTGTGAAATTATTGCAGGCTACGGGAAAATGCCAGGATATGAACATATATTTACAGACTTCCTCTTGAGCCTTGTGCAGAGTCGATACAAGAAAAGATCATGCTAGTAACTTTCCGAAATCCTTCAGGAATCGAGAGGTTGAAAGGAAGCATCAGATGCTCTAAATAATCATATGCAAGATGAGGTCTTGTGCTTGTTACCGTACCCTTTGTACAGCATCGTGTAATTCCTGCTGGCGGCTCAAGGTGGGTGTATTTCAAAGTGCAAAAAGATTTCAACCTCCAAATTCTGTAATTGCATCTTGCTGGTAGGATTGTTCCCTACTACGAAGTTTACAATGTAAACAGCTCTTTAGAAATCAACTTTAACCTCATTCTTGCTCGATTCATTTGTTCTACCTTGTAATTACCCTTTTGCTGTTACATGTATCATGGTGATAGGAGAGCACTTTGGGGCAATCAGCAACATCTCTCGTTCTTCATGCACGTTATTTTGTTCCTTGCAATATCCAATGTCTTGTCTTCAGTAGAGTCTCGATTAGAAGAAGGATCCTTGTCTTGTGAACTTAACCCTAAGTGCTGAAGTAAAAGGAATTGATTTGTCTCAGCTCTCAAACCATCATCTCCTTTTTCTCTATTAATTTCTCCTGCATCATGGTTACCCATCTCGTTATTGGTGGCACAATTGGTCTAAGGATGATTCTATACCTTTATTCTTGTTCTTTAATTTTTCAATAATGTAAACTTAAAATGCAAAAGCTTTGGTACCTGAACTGAACTCTTCTGATTTCTGAAGCAGAACTTCAGAGTAGCAGTGGACTCTGGGTACTGTGACTCTGTTTGACATGTTTCCATTTTCCTAGTAAGTGAAACAAAAGTAACCTATATCTAATGCAAATTTTAGCCGATTGCCAAATTTCAATGAATTGAGATTCACAACTAGCTATAAGTGAAACAACAAGGCTTGACTGTTATCAAGAAAAAGCTATCCTTTCCTTTGGCAAAGCCTGTTGGCACAGAAATAGAATTCCATGTCCCTGCTCGAGAAAAACTGAAACTAAAGTAAACATAGGCAATTCATGGGAGTATGTTACAACACCAAAATCAATTTCATTTTATCATTCAAACACGAAGCCCATAACTTAGCACAAAAACCCAGACAACCAAACAAAAACCTTCCAAGTAAACACGACACAACCGACATAATGATAAAACGGAAGCTACCCACTGGAAAGAGGTGCCTGTAGAGCAGAGCCAGCGAGACCAACCTCAGCAACAGCAGCAACATCGCCACCACCATCATTGTCACCGGCGCTTGAAACCAGGGTCCAGTCAGGAGGGAGTGGAGGCAAAGGAGCGTAAACGGTGGGCTTCCTCCTTATGTCCCATGCCTGCGTCTTGCGCGGCCTTGTCTTCATGTGATGCTTCGTTGCCTTCTTCTGCGGTCGCGATGAACATTCTATCACCAACCCACCATTGGAAATTGTCCAAGATGGGAGACTCGGTGTCCTAAATGAAGATGCGGAGGAGATGGAGTTGGGGATAAAGGTGATTTTGGGAGCTGAAGTTAAGGAAATTATAGACATGGTTTTTTCTTTCTGTTTCGGCTTGGATTTGCTCCCTCTGTACTGCCTTCGTTTTGCGTTTACATGAATAGAAATGGAAGAGTGGGAGAGTTAAAAGCGTTACAAAGGACAGTGAAATGGCTGTCTCCACACCTCTCCTTTTGGATTACATGCGTTATCCTCGTCCACATTTGCTTTTACCTTGGTACTACGATTCTCACGTGAGAAAATTCAAATACTTTGGGCCTCAAAGTTCTCTTATGGATCAAGCCAATTCGTTATTTCGCATTCGACCTTTGGGTCAAACCATTTAACCATGTGCCTCGTCTTCTTTCTTCATTGAAAGAAAGGATTCATAACTCTTACCTAAATATTGATTGAAAAGTTTTATTTTCACCTCCTTTCCATTAAAACCAGTCTAAATACTCATTACGTTTGAGAAAAACTAAAACTAGATGCCGTAATCTTGAGGCAAAAAATTCTTAATGTCGGCCAACTTATATAGCTATATGCTAGTTTGAGTTTCAATGGTGAATAGAGGGATCCACTCTCTTGAATGAATGAGATTATTGCTTGATTAAATCACCATTATGGATTCTCAACCATATTGGTCCTTTAGCATACCCTTTAATTAATTAATTCCTATTGTTTTTTATGTTCCTTTAATTCTCGCCTAGTTTATCATTTTATTTTGCATCATTGAGTGGAAAATTTTATAAAAAATAATAAAGCATAACGTTTAAAATTTTTTAAAATTTTTTAAAAAAATTAAATCAATATTTATTCTCTTATTGGGTTCAATCATGTCTTTGTAATTTTATTTGAAATCTTCATAAGTATTTACAATTAACATTTAATTAATTATCATTAATCAAAATATTACTTATTATTTTGATATCACGTGTTACTAATGTGATGAAAATGTCACATAATTATATTATTATATTTACACTTAACATGTTATGTCATAATTCAATATGAAATATCAACTCGTGACATTAACATCACGTAACATAAAATGACAAAATGACCGTTTTAACTAACAATTATTAATCAATCATTATTCAAAATGACTTATTTGATCGAAACAAAAAATATAAAAAATTATTAGATTTTCTCATAAATAGTTAAAAACAATTTTAGATATTATATCCAAATAATAATAATAAATAAATAAAGATAATTGCCATTAGAAGAACTTCAACTACACATTGCAAACAAGTGTATGCATGTGTTTTTTTTTTTTTTTTGTGCGTGTGTTTGTTAGGTGGTAAATTACAATATACATGTCCAAACCAGTACAAGCATTTAATCATCAATAACACAAGTGTGGTGAAAAAACCATTTGTCTATGGTCCTACATATTAGGTCCACATTTTATGATTAAGGAAACATGCATGGAATTAGGAGACAAGAGTTTAGTCTCAGTTGGAGTTTATCCCAAGCTACAGCTAAGTTTTGTGCTTATATTTATTTTGTTTTAATTTTTTCAATATAATTTTCATTCAAAACCATTTAAAAATGGGGAGGTGGGGTTTTCTTTTTTTTTTCCCGAAATTATTATGGATAAATATGGAAATGAAATTAAATATCACCAATATATTTTTTTTTGGTTTTTATTATAATGCATAAAAATAACGGCTAATTATCTATTTTCATCAGAAACCATCATCGATCTAACATTTGGCTACCGCCCGTACCGGAGCCTGCCTCTAATTCATACATGTACCAACAAGTAGGCAAGTAGCAGACTTCAAAATTAATACTATTTATTTTTTAAAACAAATATTATTAATTTTCTTAAAATATGACATCAGCATGACATGGCCGAGGTCAAAGTCTTTCTCTCCCTCTCTCAACAAAGAAAATGAAATCCATTCCCAATGACCCACGTGTCTAACACCATGCGATCCTCTCTGTAAACTCAGCAGTCAGATTCTGATCCTAACCACCGGATAACCAAATTCCAGATCAGACGAACATAAATCACTACATCAAAAACAAAAAATGGGACCCACCAAAATAAAATTAGAATGAAGAAAATAAAAAGAAAGAGGGAAAAGGAATACTCTCAATGGCACAACCCACGTGTGGTACAAAGATCCACTGTGTAAACACAAACAAAAATACAATCCTAATTTGATTAAATTAATTATCAATTTTAACACACCCGTTTTTTTTTTAAAATATATTTCCATTTCTTTTTTGTGTGCATAGAAGAAGCGAGATTCCGTATAGGTGGCCAGAATTGCAAATCGCCAAGTTGAACAGACAAGGGTGTTTTCGTCATATAACAAATTTGAAAAAAAAAATTGGAGCCTACAATATAGTTGGTCAGGTGAGAGGAGAGAGAGGGAAGGGAGAGGGGCCTCACTCAGATACCGTCAGCTTCGTTCCCGTCTGGCAATCAACTCCAGGCTGTACCCAGCTGTCTTCCACCCCTACCCTATCCCCCTCTTCCCCGTCTACCCCTGGGTTTTTTGGCAACTAATCCCAAAAATTTTTCCCATTAATCCCCTCCCTGTCCAAGCTCTCTTACTATAGAAATAGAGAGAAATTGTGTCAAATAAAGGAAAAAGAAAATTCAGAGAGTGGAAGGGATAACAACAAACTCAGGAGTGAAAGAAAAAGAAGACGATGAATAGAGTGTTTGGCGTACCACCATTTCCAGTTTACCGAAACGCATTCCTTTCACGTTTTCCCATGTAACCTCCATTCACATCTCACATTTTTTTAGCTTAAACCCTTCACTTTCTTCATTGCTATAGACAAAGAGTGTAGGTTTTTCTCGAGAAGGAAGGGGCAAGTGAAACTGAAAATGGACCCTTGCCCTTTCGTACGAATTACCGTAGGTAATCTAGCGTTGAAAATTCCGGTTGCGTCCAAACCGGCGCGTTCAGTTGTTCACCCTTCTTCGTCGCCGTGTTTTTGTAAGATTAAGCTCAAGAACTTCCCTTTGCAAACCGCCGTCGTTCCCTACATTCCGCCTGAGAATCAGTTCCCTGACAACCAGCTCCAAACCCTAGCCGCCACTTTCCACCTCAGCAAAGCTGATATCGACAAACTCGCCGCGAAATCGATCTTTTCCGCCAAGCTTTGCCTCAAGATCGCTATCTACACTGGCAGGAGGGGCACCACTTGCGGGGTTAACTCGGGGCGTCTGTTAGGGAAAGTGTCTGTACCGTTGGATCTGGCGGGAACTGAATCTAGGGCTTGCGTTTTCCACAGTGGCTGGATTTCGGTTGGAAAAGAAGCTAATAAAGGTTCCTCTGCTCGGTTTCACTTGAATGTTAAAGCGGAACCCGACCCGAGATTCGTTTTCCAGTTCGACGGCGAACCCGAATGTAGTCCTCAAGTGTTTCAGATCAGAGGAAATATCAGGCAACCCGTTTTCACTTGCAAGTTCAGTTTTAGAAGTACCGGTGACCGGAATCAAAGATCCAGGTTGGTTTTTACTATCTTTAATTAGTTGTTTTTTAGGCTTTTTGTAAAGTTTTTGTTACTAAATTTGAATGCTAAATAGTACGGTGAAGAAATTGCAAAGTTAAAGTTTGCCAGATTATATCCTTAATTGAAAACTATAAAAATTTAGATTTCATGAAAAAGCTTTTCTTTTCTTTTACTTTTTACTGTTCATTTAGTTCGAAGTGTTTGTTCTTTGCTTGTTGAGTAATTTTTTAAGTTATAATCGGACAGGTCGTTACAGTCAGAGCCAAGTAGCTCTCGGGGTTGGTTAAGCTCATTCGGAAGTGAAAGGGAAAGGCCAGGAAAAGAACGGAAAGGATGGTCAATAACGGTCCACGACTTATCCGGCTCACCTGTAGCCGCCGCTTCAATGGTTACTCCTTTCGTGGCCTCACCAGGTTCGGACCGAGTGAGCCGTTCTAATCCCGGCTCATGGCTGATTCTCCGTCCAGGGGATGGCACCTGGAAACCCTGGGGCCGTCTCGAGGCTTGGCGCGAACGTGGCTCTTCTGATGGACTTGGTTACCGTTTTGAACTCATTCCTGATATGAGCGCCGCGGCTATTGTTTTAGCCGAATCGACTTTGAGTTCAGGTAAGGGAGGGAAGTTTGTAATTGATCTAGGAGGCGGCGGCGGCGGCACAAACGGGCGGGCGACGCCGGGGAGTGCGGCGTCGCCGGCATGTAGTCCGAGAACTAGCGGGGATTTCGGGTACGGATTGTGGCCGTTTTGCGTGTATAGAGGGTTTGTAATGTCGGCTCGCGTGGAAGGGGAAGGCAAGTGTAGCAAGCCTTGCGTGGAGGTTAGTGTACAGCACGTGAACTGTACGGAGGATGCAGCTGCTTTCGTGGCTTTAGCCGCTGCCGTTGATCTGAGTATTGATGCTTGCCGGCTTTTCTCGCAACGGTTAAGAAAAGAGCTTTGCAATCACCAGGATTTACTTGGCTGATTCGGATTATCCCCCTCCTCGTTTTTTGTCGTCTTTCGTGGATTTTCTTTTTGCCTTATTTTCCTGAGTGGATGGGTTTTAGGTTCCATCGTGGAAAGCGAGAGGTTTTCATTTTACCGCTACGTTTTTTACCACTAACAAACAAATCTTTAAATCTCTGTACAGTGATGAGAAGGGGAGATCATCAGATTAGACAGGCACGCTTCGTTTTACCCGTGTGGCTTGTGTTAATTTCTTTTTTGCTTCTTTTATGAGAAAAAAAAGAAGAAGGGTTGTTTCCTTTATTTTTTTAATGAGATATTGTTGTCAAGCTGACTTCGTCATAGTCTTTTTAATAGTACTATTACTATTTCCTATTTGAATTAGAATGTACGGATTGATGAGCTGTAATGCTATGGTTTGTCAATTTTTAGTTTGCAATTTCGGATTATCTCTACTCTTTAAGTATTATTGCTCTTGATTTAGTTAAACAAGTGAGATTAAGTCATTAATGGCTGATTATTTGGCTTTGAAAATAAACCAAAGGATCAGCAAGTGAAGTGGAGGGTTGTTGGGGAGTGAGCAAGGGAGGTGCGTGCACGTTACTACTGCTTGTTGGTTATTTATTAGAGCTTTTTAAGATTATTTCAAAAATTGTTTTATGGATGATAGCTGTAATCCGCTTTCATTATGTAGGCAGAAAGGAATAGAGGACACTTGGCCTGTTTTAAGCGTGCAAATGGAGAGGAATTAAACTATTTTAGAGCAGACTTTGCATACAATCATGGTTTGTAATGACTTAATTCTCTTAGTGCAAGTAATAATGAGGTGAAGATTAGCTGACTTTCACATTCATAACAGTTTTGGCTAACATAAATTCTGTGTAGCAAAGGGTTCGTAGTTGTTACACAAGGCGTATATTGTTATTTTGAACGAAAGTGTTGTAAAAGGAGAGTGGTAGGACCTGGATTTGGTGGCGCGTGCCTATACATTAGGGTCCATTTGAATATCTGTTGGTGCCAAAATGGTTTTGGAAGGAAGGGGGACCATGAGTACATGACCTTCCCTTAAAACTTCTAACTTCAAAAGATTGAGAGGAAAAGAATGGAAGGGAAACGTAAAAAGGAGTCAGAGATGCATGTGAGTGCTTTGCTGGTGGTACTCTGCAGGCAGGGGCCTCTCTCTGCACACAGAATGACTAAATTTTGAACAGTTGTAAGATAAACAACAAAAACAAAAACTAAAGAAAAGAAAAGAAACGAAGGCTTAAAAAATGTGGACATTGGCAGAGAGGCCAGATAGGCTTGTGTTGGATTGGCAGTATTTGTTGGTGACTAAAACCGAAATTGCTTCGTCGGGAGGGACTCGACACTCGAGAATTAGGAGTCACGTTCACGTCTTTGCTGGAGTCTGTGGGGAGGGCCGTTTCAGGGTTTTCTTCCTCTTTTCACATAAAATACTGTCACAGCTTTTATTGGAAAGTGAAGGTTGCTTAACTATGGTGTGGGGATTTGGGGAAAGAAAAACGTTGGTGGGGTTTAGCCTCAGACTGCATCACTGTCACATGAGGTGCATAGCAATTACCATAGGTGGGGTACGATCCGGGGTTGGGACCAGGGCGCCCACAGTCCCAGACCCTTCGTTTTGTTGGCCTATGGAAATCGGGGCTTGTGCCAACTGGGTCCTCACTCCTCTCCCACAAATGGTTTATGTGCCAAATTTTAACAGTTTCCCACCATGGTGAAAATCATCAAAAAGCGAGAGTTATATTTTGCATTAATTTCACTTGGCCATGTCTTTTGAACTTGGTAGGGAATCTAAATCCATGCTCGCTTTCGGAGTGTTTTAAGGTTTTAACTGGGCTGGTGGGAAACAAGAGAGGATTTGGATTCGGTTTGCTTTTGGAACTGTGGCTTTGATTTACATTCACTAATGATATTGTCAATTATTTTCAAGTAAGAATCATCACTAGACCAATCAATGAAATGCAACACGCACCCATCATTGGCTAATTCATATAATGCAACAATTTCTCGTTTTTAACCCCTGTAAAACGGTGGCAGTAAAAATGACTATGGTTAAAACTACAAACCTGATACGCTTTCCCAGAAACTTTAAACAGTTATTTACCAATGAAAGCGAAGTCCAATCAACATTCTTAATGCAACATCAATGTATCCATCAAACTAAATCACCGCATACTTGAGCATCGACTCGGTATTCAACAAAATGCTTTTATTACTTCAAAGAAAATATTTCCTGATGCGACCACCACAGACACAGAGCGGTACGACCTTGATCAAGAACCTTCCAGACAAGTCCAGATCAATAAGAAGAACATAAGAAAAGAGTTTCTTTTACATGTCTCTTTCGGTGCGGTGAAAACTCTTAATCATAATCTTTTTTGGGGCCATAGTAACCTCGTATTTCACTTTCCCTCCAGTTTGAAAAACGTTTAGCACAAACTATTTGCCGGTACCACGCCTAAAAAGAAAGTCAAAAAAACAAAAAATCAAGGATGACGTCGGGAATGACGTTTAGTCACCAAGTGACCAAATTGTCCAAATGAAATACATTACTGTTTATGGAAATTTCACTAGTTTTAATTTACCAGTTACTGTTTTTATGGAATTTATATTTAACATTTTTTAAATTATAAAATTCAAATAATATTTATTTTTATTATATTTAATTACTTTTTTATATTTTTATTTTTAATTAAAAATTTTTTATGATTAATATATAATTAATTTTTATTAATTAAAATATTATTTATTATTTTATATTATATAATATTATAATATATTATAATAAATAATAATATTATTATAAAATATTTCCTTATTTCATATTGGTATACAATATAAAAATAATAAATAATATTTTAATTAATAATATTATTAAAAATTTATTTATTTTTAAAAATAATTAAAAAAATTTTTAATACACATGTTCAACATAGATGATTTCTTTTGTTTTTTTTTTTTTTAGCATTATTTGTCTAAAAGATTCAATGGTGATGGCTTTGTTTTAAGTTAGATACATGAAATGTTGGAAAAAGGTTGCCAAACAACATGACCACGATGATGTGAGGTTGAGAAAAACCCTTTCTGATGTTGATTAGCAGGTGCAAATTTTACCACAGGAAGTTGAAAGGAATGGAAGAGAAAATATCTACAATACCTGGAGACCATAAAAGGAAAATGCAAGTTGGGGAGGAAACCATCAATTTAATGGTGATTTAGAGCTGGAACTGAAAATGAAGCCAGAAGGAATTCAACCACTCCCGGACTAGGCACCATTCAGACCGAAACAAAAACAATGGGTAAAGTCTGGAAATCTTGTGGCTTTTCTCTTGTTGACAAATAGAAAACAGCTTCACAAGAAGTTGCTGTCTTTGACGTATTCTGGAAGTATGGGATAACAAGAAAGATGAGTTAGATTTACCTAATTTTTTTCGTAAATTGAGTTAAAGGAACATTTTTGCTAGCTGTTTCTTGGGTTTGCTCGTCTTAACAATATTGGGTTTTTTTTTTTGAAGTGATATTCAAGTGTAAAGGAAGGGTAACGAATTAGACTTTGGTCTTTTGAATACTTAATCCACTGTTTTAGAGAGGGGAATGAGGCCACCAATGGATGGTTTGAATTGAAGCCATGTTAATTTCAACTAGAAGTGGTAATATGTTGTAAATTAAACACCATTTTAAAAGCTTAAAGTCTCTATGTTACAGTGATTAAGTATGATGAACACGAATTTGATATTCAAGACCATGCTCCACGAAAGCAGGAGGGTAAAAATGGCAATACTACGTCAAATTGAAGTGATGAAAAACATTTAGCAAGTCAAAGTCAAAACTCTGACTGACTGACTATCCATCCAAAGGCAAAGGTTGCAACTTTAACTGGATCTAGTGCTCTCAGTTGAATTCAGCGAGGCGGATAGGGGGGAAAACGAACACGCAAGAAAAGATGAAGGCTTTGGGATGGTGGTTAATGCTGTTGGGTTCACTTCGATTGGTTTCCGTTTGGTTCGGCTTCTTTGATATTTGGGCTCTTCGTCTCGTTGTTTTCTCCAACACCACCAGTAATCTTCTCTCTCTCAACCTTGTTTTTTGGTTGCTTAATTTCTTTGCACTTTTTTAATTGTTTTTGATGATTTGTTTACTGTGGATTAGAGTATACAAATTTTGGAAAGATCGCAGGAACAAATCTTTAATTTTTAACAAAGAAAGTAAGCTAGTATTTTTCTGGGTCATGGAGACAAGGTGCTGTTTTTGTGTGCGTGCTGAGTGTTCGGTCATGTCTCTTTAAATTAGAGATCGAATCTTCAATACCCAGATTAAAAAATAGGGAAATAGTTAAGTTGGGATCCCAAAGTTAAGGGATTTTGAAGATTCTTATTGGAAAAATGTTAACTTTGCTGCTTTGGGAGCTATGCTTTTGGAAAGCTTGTAGCGATGAACTAATTTGTATTCTAAAAGCAAACAATAACTTTCAATTGGGTTAAGGAATGTTGCAGTGACTGACAGAGAATTTCTTCATATGGAGAGATGTATGGGGATTATTTTTGTTTTAACGTTACTACTAATCAGCATCCTCTGTAGCTTAAATTAATGGAATCTTTTGCTTCTAGTTTTGCTTTTCTGAATCTAATAATGAAGATTTGCTAGTCTTCATTGAAATGCTTCAACAAATTTGTCTGTAATAAACGCATAAGGATAGATGGTGTATCAGACTTGTTGGTTTAGGTCCAATTTCCTATTTTATTTTTTGTTCTGAATTTTAGATTCTTGCTTAATAGGCCAATGCTGATGATTCTTCTTACTTGAAGTTAGACTTTGATCCAATGCCTTTTTGATTGTGTCTTGGTTGATGAAAAGGAATGAGGGTTGTGTAGAGAGCAAGTCACATATCTCTATGTAAATGAAACTAGCAGAACCAAGAAAGATACATATTGGTAGATTTTTAGATGTAATAGTTCAGTCAATGGTAGACAAACCTAGAATTATCATGTAATGGTGGGTGCTATGAAAAATAACAAGGTGGATGAGTTTGGTAAGCAAACAGTTGATTTTAGGTCCATTATCCAAGAAAGATATGGGATGCCAGTTTTGGAGTAAACAAACACAAAACAGATTTGATGCATCTGAAGTTTTAGACGTATTCGTTGCAGCTTCAAATATAGTTCTTTAGGTGCATGTATTAGGTGCATGTATAAGCCATTGCCTATTTGAAGTGAAAGATTATGTTGGCAGCAAAGGGGACATTGGTGGTTTCCAGCATGAAAACTAATGAGGACCAGTGGATTTTGATTTAAGTTGAAAGACCTGGAAGAACCTATTCAATGATGGATACTATGAAGGGAATGGGTTTGCTTAGAAGGGGATAGGATTTGAGTCTAGAGGTCAAGAAAGATATAGAAATTTGGATTTTGACTGTGATATCAGAAAAATTAGTACTCTTAGTAGAATGTGAAAGTGTCCCTGTTCCTTTCATGGTCTTTTGGGTGCATGCGTAGACAGTTCTGTCTTTGAACTGTATGAGTATGCAATAGGGAAAGGGAAAAAGAGGAAGAGTTACTGAAAATTTAAGTTATTACAATGCACTCACTCCTTATACAATGCATATGTGTCAGATATGGCTTGAACATGATATTTGGTGCATGTAAAGGGAGATGCTGTTTTTGAGCATAGCATGCCGTATTTTTTGGAGAATCTTGAAGGTGTTCCATGACAACTTTAAACCATGTTTTTTATATCCTTGATGATATGTTTTGCCTTATCCAAGTTAATTCATTTTGATGATTTCAAGTATCTGTTTTGAACAAAACAAAGGAGATTGGAATTGAATCCCTTTAAATGTAGTTGCTTTTTGGCTATTAAGGAGCTTGAAATTCTTTTAAACTACTTCAACATCACATTGGCAGTGGAGAAAGTAAAACATATGCTAATCTGACCTTGGGATATCTATATTTTTCAGTTTTACTTTTTTTTAACAGTTATTTCTATGTTAGATGCCACCTTTGTTTACCCTTGCAGTTGAGTTTTCACTGCACTTTCTGAGATAGATATTAGAAAAAGGAAGAAGACTCTGATATCAGTGTATTGTGAAAAGGTCTCCCAACTCAGAATTGCGTTTTGTTTTCTGCTGAGGAATAATTTGTCATTCCAGATCTTGATAATTGGTCATCTCCTATTTGTTTTTAACTGATATGCAGTGACTGAAGTTCACGGGAGGACATTCGGAGTTTGGACACTTTTGACTTGTACTCTCTGCTTTCTTTGTGCGTTTAACTTGGAAAATAAGCCACTATACTTGGTGACATTTTTGTCATTCATCTATGCCTTTGGTCACTTTTTGACTGAATACCTCTTCTATCACACAATGGCCCTTTCAAATCTGACAACTGTAGGCATCTTTGCAGGTATGTTTTTCATGAGGAAACATGGCATCATTTTGAGTTTGTTTTACATGTCACTGCTTTTGCATGAAGTTTTTGATTGAAGTTGCCTGCTAGCTTTTCCTTGACTTGTTAATGTTTACATCAAACTTGTAAATTGTATAACTGACCTTGAAATATAATCAATTTAATATTTAATGAATGGTGATAATATTCTCTTCAATAGCCTGGTTTGTCGCTTTTATGTTGCAATTGCAACCGGCATAGAACTACATTGAAACAAGCCAGTCCTAAGCGTTTACAACAGCAAAATCCAAATTTCTCCTTGATAAAGCCTGAGCTTTCTTGTGCATCTTTGTTGGAACGTCTTTAGTATTTCCTGATCCGTAACAAATCATGGCATCCACATTTTAGGCTGAAACCATGATGTGCTCTAAGATTTTTATTTTTAATTGTAAAGTCATTGGTTCATCTTGATCTGGTTAAACTGTTATGGCTTATCATTTGCCATGGGACTTTGATTACCATACCACCATATGCAAATTGTCATTTTGGCGTAGAATTAATTTTCTTTTTTTTTTTCTTCTCAAAATTATCAGGGACATCAATTATATGGATGCTGCTACAGTGGAATGCACATCAACAAATACATGCCAAGCATTCCTGATAATGGACTCATTTACTTTCTGTTGCTTTAATCTTAGTGCTGACACAGTGATTTCTCAGCATTAATTTTATTTTTTCAACCAGTTTAACAGCTGTTCACAATTAGATTGTGGAGGTCTGTCGCTGACAAAGAATTCAAAGCAGTCTGATGTGCAATTCTGTTTGAGTACTCGATTATAGATTAAATTCTGAGAAAAGAGCCATGGCTCTAAACTTCTATACCATACTTAATAGGTGGTATTTGGAATCTATAGTTCTCTAGGAACCATTTGCATGAACCTGATGAAGACCCCAAGGCCCAAAAACGCTGAGTGCGACTTTCTTCTTAACGGACTCTTATAAGGCCCAAACAGGAGGGAACACGGACAAAGAATTCTCAAAAGGTTGCAAATGGCATCCACCCCATCCCTGGAAATTCTTCTCACTCTGTATTATTTTTTTTTTGGATTGGGCCTACCTTTTTGCATAATTTAGGGCGATTAAAACTAGAATGGAGATTCCTCTATTCAATCAGACGAATCATTGGGATAAATTTGTTGTGTGTTATCCAAAAGAATAGTAGAAGTTCTGCTGGATGACAGAGGAAGCATACGGTTAACTGATACTTCTACAAGTTACGCGTTTAGTTTTACAATATAACACCAAGGCAGTTTTACTTCTAGCTAATTATTGGCAATCTTGAAAAATTTCTTCTATAGCATGGGGCAAATGCTAAAACTTTTGTACGGTTCAGCTACAGGCCTGTATTCTGAAGACAGAAAGAAGCAACTATCTCCTAAGGCATAACAAATAAACCCAACAACATGTTGAACAGGAACTACTGTCAACTTATTCCGCTGCAACTTTGCTGGAATTTCCTTCTCTTGCAAAATGTGCAAAAGAGGTTGATGAATCCTATCAGATTTTATTGGTGAAATGAAGAATCCCAAAGACCTGAAAGACTCAATTCTGAGCAACACCTACTTTCTCACTTGTTGTTGATGATGCTAAGGTTTCCATCGTGTTCTCTGGTCTGTGCTACACTAAAACTTGATACTTCCTCACCATTTTGTTCATCATGTAGCGTTTCCTCCACACTTCTCAAACGTCGAATTTGAGCAGCAGTTCCTGTATCAAGGTTGCTTTGCACAATGGAACTTGATGCGTCATCACTCTTGTACGTTTCCTCTCTTGGATCCTGTAAATTTTCTTCACCTTCATTTATGGCTTGATCTTCTAATAAATTTAAGTCCTCAATTTGGTTTTCCTTCTCTCTATCCTCTTCGTCAATGAGATCCTCAACTTCCTCAGTCTCTTCCTCGTCCCCTTTCTCTTGATCACGCCCATCAATCTCATCATCTCCACCGCCTCTTCCATCATTACTCTCTTCCACCTCTTCTTCTGCTTCAACTTCTCCACTTCCGCTATTCTGATCAGTGGATGACCCTTGTACTTGAGGATCAAGGTCCTTCCTCCCAAGGTTTATGGCTACATGCTCACTGGTTACCTTGCGGAAAATTCCAGTGCCCTTCTTATCATAAGTGTCCCTAACTTGGTTCAGCAACCAGATGCAAAGGGCAAGCAAGGCACATATCTGAAGAACATGCTTTACCTTGAAGCCTTTATACCTCTGGTTTCTACAAGCAGATTGCTTTAGCATGGTGAACCCTTGTATATATGTTTCCTTCAGGTATCCGAAGCAAGAGCCAAATTTAATCTGTTCAAGTAGGAAATGAAATTACTTATATATAGAATGTGTACGAAAATCTAATGCTGAATTTCTCTTATCCTCGTTGTTCTTTAAAAAAGTGGTATCCAAGAAACTGAATTTTGAGCCATTAATTTCTTTTGATGGACAACATGTGGGTTCTTTTCCATAGGGTTTCACAAAGATGACAGGATAACAAAGTTCACAGGGGAAGCATGATAGGGGGATGAACTAAATTTTGACAAAAGATCAGTCTCAAACTATAGATTGTTGCCTCGCTCTAAGAAAAGGGTCTCCTTCCATTAATGAGACATTGAGCGCCCAACTAATTCTCCACCACATGAATTGTAGCTGACTGGCATTTGCGAACTACTAGGCTAATGTGAACCAAACACGTTTTGCTGGAGGAAATTAATGTCAAAGGTAAGTTTCCATGCCCTACATTTAAAGAACTTGTTCGCTTGTTTCCCAACTTGCAGAAACCAGCGACCAAGCAGGGCACATTAACAGGGTAGGTATCGTTTGCAGAACCAAATAGTCTGAATTATGTGATAAGCTAAGGCTAGGTTCTAATTACCATTGGTAAATTCATAGCATCGGCTCGAAATTCGAACCCCATTCTTTGAAAGTGTCAAATTCTCAATTCAATTGTGACAAAGTCGAACAGATATAGTGCTTTCACAAAAGACAGAAGCCAGTTCATTAATGGACCAGCTAGGATAAACGACATGGGGAAAAGGCACAAAATCTTTGAACTAAGAACCAGCTTTGGGAGAGAGAAATTTTCCTTCTAAAAGTAGCATTTTAGTTGCAATATGTGTGTATTCCTTTTTCATTTTGTTTTCTCCATTGGACCACGGTGAAAAACAACAAGAAAAAACCATAGTTAACCCTTTTATCTCTGACAAGTCATCTGTAGAAATTGAACTTCGCAAACCCACACCCACACCCACACCAAACATTTATCTCTGTTAGCTTAAAAACCAGACAAAGCTGCTCGAATTTGAGAATTTTCTCAAGAAATTAACAAAGAACAAAAGACATTGATACATAAGCCAGCTAATACTGCAAAAATTAAAGAAAAAGAGAACTCCTGACAGAAACTCATAAAAGTAATGCAGGTCAGAGAAAAAGGTTGAAAGAAAAGATACCCTGTTAAAAGGGCAGATCCGTGAAACAGAAAAAAAAAGTGAAATTGAAAAAGAAAACAGTACCCTTTTCGTAACCTGGAATCTTGGGCACACGTATATCCAAGGGAGTGTACTTTCAGCAGCAGCAACAGTAATATTTCCGAAGGAAAACTTTCTCCAAGGAGCTGGTAGGAGAAGGGTGATGGAATAACCATAAAAAGGAGAAGAAAGGTAGTTGAAGGATTATTATGGAATGAAAATGAAACAAAACCAACGTGGGGGGTATATCTTTGCAGAAAGGGATAGCGAGAGGGCTAGAGAAGTGAATGTGAGAAAACACACTAATACAGAAATTGTCAGCGTACACTACCACACTCGGCAACTAATTGATGGCAATTGTTTCATCCGTTGGCTTCACGTGTGGGGTTCATGACAAGTTATCATGTCCTAAACGACTTCGTTTGAAACTCTCTGCCATGAATGCTCCAAACTGTGGCTGTTGTTTTCTTGGTGTCACATTCCAAATTCCTGTCCAGGCATGTTCTCCACAGGAAACGTCACTACACATGTATAGCATTCTTCAAGAATACAATATTCCCAGTTATTTATTATCTGCTAGTTGCCTTTTGTTCTCTCCTGGGATACATCCTCTCCGCAGTACCCATTTTTTACTACTGAGTCAAAAGATTACTCCATCCATCAGACAGGAAAGAAAAGAGTCAAACTTTCAATTCTATGAACAGGTAAATGAAAAACATGAAGAAAGTGATCTTAAATCTTTAAAAGCAAATACAGGAAAAAGCAGACCAATGCACACAAACATTAGCTCTTCTTCAAGATCCATTTTTCCATTTTTTGCAGCTTTTCTTAAAGGGCTGAGACATGGATTTCCTGCTTTCATTTCAGTACGTATGAGAAAACTCAAGTGGAAAAGAAAGATTCCATGAATTTTTAATCTTTCAAATTGCCTTTTTTTCATTTACTTGGATGAAAAGAAAGAGTGAAACACGACATGACTCAATGCATAAACCGGCAAGTGTGATTGAGGCTCTTGTTTTTGTGCTTTACCTTTTATCCTTGTGGCTTTACTTTTGCATTTCCTTAGCTTAAACTGTTGGTGTTGGATTTTAGTACCTTTTACACATCAATTCACAATACACACACCTATGCATAGTAAATTTCACAATTGAGTTCATTAATTTACCTTTAAATGATTATTACTCTTTCAATAAAAAGTTAAAAGCATGAATTGTGTTTAATTATTTTTCATTTCCGGACCCTAACAAAATGTATAAAGATGTCGATGGTTTCTGTAATCGGTTTTTTTATATTATTCAATTCGATTAAGTAAAAATAGATTATCTTATAATCAGGTTTGAGTAATATTAGGATCCTTAATACTCAAATTCGACTATAAATAATAAATTTAATATTAAATTTTAATTTAATAATTTTATATTATTTTTATTTATAATTTTTATAATTAATATAATACTTATTAAAACTTATTAATGATTCTAAATATAATTTATTTTTAATGAATCAACTCTAAATATTTAATGATTAAATGTATTTAATCGGTAATGTTTAAGATAATCGATTATGAAATCGGATTATAATTTAAAAATTTAATTGAGTATTTATAAAATTAAGATATTTTATCAAATAATAAGGTTTTGATTAAATAATTGAGTACTTATATATATAAAGAAAAAACAGAGATTTCACTCTGTCACGGTAAAAATTTTCTTTGCATGGCTCCCTCTATGATATGGCCATTGAAGTAGTATTTGATCTCACGCTACCAAGGAAAAGGACAAGCAGAACAGAGTGGTGCCCTTTTCATCTGAAACCCCGATATCTCCTTTGCTGATCTCTGGTGGTCACTGCCAAGCACCACACCCACCAGAATCAGAAAAGTAGAAACAGATGAACTTTGAACAATATTGACCTCTGCCTCTCAAGGTTTTACTGATCAAAACATTAATTAAATCATTGTCATTAGTACAAATTCCATCCACCTGTTAAATTCCTTCTCTTGTTAGCAACAATCTGTTTCCTTGTGTTTTAAACGAGGTGGAAAACAATCCTTAGGAGTGAATCACAGCAATTTAAGCTGTTCACATATTGTTTGAAGATATATAGGATATGTGATGGAACAATTTTTATATTAAATATCTGGGTTATTTTGTTTTATCTTTTTTTTCATTTTTCATTGACCAAATTTTCTAATCATGACATCAAGTTGCAGCTTATGTATTGTCACCGGCAACATCTAATAAGCAGTAAAGCAGAGAGAGAGAGCGAGAGAGCAAAGAGTGAAAAGAAAAAAGAGTTACCACACAAACCAACCAAATTGATCCCATCCATCCATATAATTTTGATTTGCAGAAGAGAGAAAGGGGGGGATGCAGTGAGGCAGATTAGCAGCTCTGCAAGACCTAATAAATGACGACGATGAGTCCTTCACTTCCTTCGCTAGTCTCTCTGCAATCTTTTTCGGGCCCATATTCAATGCTGCATTTAATGTGTTCTAACCTCTGTGACATGAAAAGGAAACAGACAACCAAACCCACCAGCCCTTGCCATTTTTTTATGCACTTAAAAAATTGTAGTTCTACAATAAGATACAGCAGCGACAGTTCAATTATTTAAGTGAGATCAGCTTCGGAAAGAAGCATGGACCATGTCTTGAAATGAAACTCTTTTCGTATATCATTTGCAGGTTTTTTTTTATCAGCTAGTAATAGCCTCATGGGGTTACAAGAAATCCCTGCCATTTACTGCTTACCAGCATGTATTTTTTGTTGTTCAAATATCTGACAATACCCTTTATCATCACTAACTTTAACTGCACGTGAAGATTATTTTCATCCATCTTATAGCTTCAATTTCACTGCTAACCCTTCCTTTTAACCTTGGTCAAATCAGAAGCATTGTTAATCTTGATTTTGATGGGTACAAACAATAGGTTAAGGGACAATAGAAGGGAAATAAAGAGATGATGAGGTACGCTAGGCATATATCTCTTCGAGGTGAGCTGTCTAACATGCACAGGGTATTAGCTTTCTCTCTGGAGTGTGGTGCACAAATCTTGTAAGATACGAAAGCAGAACTGTTCTGACAGACTTGATACGCACCCATCTTTAGCTCTTTGAACTTACCCAGGTCGTCACTTGCCATCAAAATTAACAAATCTCACCCCAAATTTTAATGACAATGAAGATTTATAAAGGTCGTAGTTAAGGAATCTTTGCTGTTGCTGATGCTGTTTAACTGCAATAAAGTCTGAAGAAAACAAATAGTGGACAAAGGCATTGCGAATTAGGAGAAGGGTATAACCTTTGCAGGGGAAAGCGAATACATTTTATATAGAAGAAAGGGCAAAAATGTTACAGTAAGAAAGAAAGAAAGGAACGCTTTACATTGCGCTGCCCATATTTGCACCATGCAAGAGGAAAGCGAAGAAGACAAAGGTATACAATTGAAAGTCAATTTATCCACAGTTGAAAGGAGGTGCTTTTACACTGAACAGTGTTTATTTTTACTTCAATCAAGGATTGAAAATCATGTTCCCACACTTGCACTTCCAACTCATGGGCTTGTAGTTGGAGATGTCATCGCCTCTGGAGTAAGCAATTGACAATATTGCAGCTGAGAATTGGCGGGTTCTGCGGTTTTGGGATTGTGTTGTAACAGGAACTTGGATTGCCTCACAGTGCGGGCAGGAACTGCACCTTCTCTCACACCTTGGTGGCCTTGACCCTATTAGACTTCTCATCACCAATGCCTTCTCCTCTTCAATCCCTTTCTGTGCATACAACATTATTGAATTCAGTCACTTCTGATTGGATTGATAAGAAAGAAGCAAGAGTATACTTGAAATGGAATTATGATCCTGATACCTGGGCAACCTCAAGTAGTAGCCTGGAAAGAGACCTTCCTGGAATACATGAAAGTAAGAGGAGATTTAAGTCAATGAGTGGAATTTCAGGTTTAAATTTGGAGAATTATTTTCCTTTTTGGAATTTAGACAAGGAAACTTACCTTCAGCCATGAATCTAACTTGGGTCAAGCTTGAAACCAAGAGCAACAACAGGGAAATTATTAGGTGTCTATTTCTGTGGCAACAAACATAATTTGGAGAGCTGCTCATTTTTCTCAAAGAGAGGAGGGTGAGAGTTCAAAACCTTAAAAGAGGAGAGATACGGGATGGGGTGTAGAGCAGTAAAATTAATAGGACCAACGCAGGGAAATTAAATAGTTGGCAGTGTAGGAGGTAACTGAATCTGAACTTCTGAAAAGTGTCCCCAAGGAGAGTTTTCAGTACTTGAATGCCACCTCCACAATGCAAAAAAGATGAGTCTGTTTTTACCTTGTAATATAGTATCACTGAATCAAGGATGGAACGTGGAAGGCAAAAAGAGCACTGCAATGAGGCTAAAAGCAAATGGGGAGGACCTCAACCGAAAAGGGAAGGACCTCAGCCTCGTTTCATGAGCCGCCAAAAAACCAAGGTACCTTACCATATGAAAAAAAGAGAAACAAAAATGAAAATCAACTGTAGTAGCCCAGAGCAGTTTGAAAAAGCAAAGGATGGACAGCACAGCCAAGAAAAGAGCGAAACCGTGAATGAAAACAAAAACAGAAACAAAAGAGATCACACAAATACCAAATGATGAAGAGTTTTCTGCAAAGGGGTTTATGTAATGTCACAGGTGGGATGAGCTTATTGGGATTTCCTTTTCCTTTTCCTTCTCCATTTCTCCTTTCAATTTGTACCCCCCCCGGTTTACGTTCCTTTCGATGGGAGACTTGGTTTTGGGTTTTGGCTCGTGGCTCGTGAGTCTAGGCCAGGGCCACTCCAACACGCCAAATCCCTCCCCCCCTCTCTCTCTCTCTCTCTCTTGCTTGGGAATAGTATTTGTATTTCTATTTCCCAAGGAGGATGCTATTTGCGTGTTGGCATGTAATAGAACAGGCCATGGAGTTTGCTTGATAATATACTCTTTTATGGGAACAGCAAATTTCTGGGTTGGTGAAGAGTTAAATTTTTTACCTGCAAGCAGCAAGCTCACGCACGCTCTTGGGAATAAGAGTCCTGTGTTCTTACCAGAGAGCACTGTATATACTCTGCTACCCTAACTGCTTATTGTAGCCAATTATAGCAGAGTTTCTCCGGTGGTGCTCCCACAAGTTTTAAGATTCCAGCTCATCCCAAAAAAAAGGACTACCGATTTACGTAAGCAATTTCAATGTTGTCAAAACGAGAAGCAGCTCCGTATCCAGAAATCATAGGCTTTTGTCCAGAATTGCACGTTTATGAGATTTAAGAACATCTTATAATACTCTTGTAAGTCATCACAACGCACCAAACCCTGTTAAGTATTTTACTCCAAAAGCTTAAAATTTTGTGGACTGCACGGGGACCGATAACATTTCTAATTGCGTCCATTACTTATTTTACTTGTGATACCTTCTTCTATTATTGATTGTACACCATTACGGCAGCACTAGAATGCCAGAAGATTGGGCCAAACACCAGCTGCAACATAAAAGCCAACACAAAGAACAGGGCTAGTGAGCTGGGCTGGGACCGACAGGCGGCCACAGATTTTCGAAATTCTACTAAATCTTGATTGCTAACACTACAACGCCCACATACGTGGAGTTGCTTTCAAGCTTTTAGCTGTTACAATCTTTGGCAGATACCGTCGTCTTGTTTCTGACTGAAAATAAAGCAGGTTAAACCGCCGAATTAAGAAATGTTTTGTCAGCGTCGGGCGCACATTAATAGCAAGTAACCCATCTCCACATCACATGAAGGAGGCCTACGATTATTATATATTTTGAGCGTATATACTTGTGCTACATAAATTTACATTAAGATGGTATACTACTTTCCTTTACAGAGGGACTAATCTCTCTCTCTCTTCATGCTTTTGATAAACGACATAGGTATTCCACCTTCTTCTTCTCTTAGTTGACGTCCTCTTTCTGAATGCCATTGGACCCAAAAATAAAGCCATTGGCAATTATATATAGTAATAAACAACAAACTGGCACCTCTTATAATAGAAAATTGTCAATCATGTGTTGGACTACATCAGCACCATCAGAATTAACCCAGTAGTTCTTCACCTGTACGGAATAAGGTGATAAAATAGCGTCACTTACGGCAGCATCTATCAGAGTATTTGCATGGTACAAGGAAAGAGAGTGAAAAGGGCTGGAAGGATTAAGCTCATCTACATCCAAAACAATGAATTTTTGAAGAAAAAACTTGCCTGAATGGTTACGTGTGCAAGAAGTCTTTGTCGACTTCCTTTGAAGTAAACATCAACCCGTTCCCAGCTCACTTTTGTTAAGCTCCTGATCATTTCCTCTACGATAGTGATAAACATGAGTGAAAACTGTGATCAACTGGGCAATAACTAGTTATTTAACTATTATCCTCTAGTCGTAGCTTTAAATACGTAATGGATGAAATGAGAGATATTGCATCCTCTAACAACAAAAGTGCCAAGTTGAGAAAAATTAAAAGTAATCAGATGTTTAGAAATGAATTTAAATATGTACTTTAAATGCCAAAGGTAAATCAGAAATGGTTTGACAATTTCATCCCCTCTTTCATTTAGAAATGTTTCTTTGCCCAGTGATTAACAAACAACCAAATCAAGGAAAAAGAAAGTCTTTTTCTCCTTCCATCTTGCCTTTTCAACTAGCTTATAAGAAATCACAGAGTCATGTGTTTGACAATTTAGCAAGTATCGGTGATCCATTGAAGAGGCGGAGAATAAATAGTAATCACAGTCAATGACGCTTGAAAGAATCACGTTCACCATTTGAACACCTTCAACTCCTCTCCACAACTAATGTGGATTATACATTTTGTAGAATTTCCTCAAACATTGGGCCGTAACCAAGGTAGACCTATCATGCCTCCCAGCCTGTTTTTAACTAGAGATCATAAACTATTAAAAATTGTATGATTATATCATGATCAAGTTTTCTAATCCGAATTCAAAACCAATAAACAGCCTGACAGATTGAAGGAAAACATTTTTCCACTACAAGATAAAATTTAGTTGAATCCAATTGTTTATTGACTTAAAAGTTATTGCCATCCTACGTCAGTACGTTTCTATTCCATATACATCGCTGAGTGAAATTGTGAATAGGAGTGCTGGTCCTTATGCTATTGTTTAAATCTCTTTACATCAACTAGAGCTCTCCATAATCATTAAGAAAATGTTACAAACCAATTCCCTTGAAGTAAGATGATGCCAACAACCCAAAGTAACAAATAAAATGAAGTTTAAGACGATCTCCAAAAGATTATGATAGAAAGCGATTTCATTACTAAATTTATAAGAAAAAAATTAGGAAGCAAACCTTCCATGTTTATCTTCTCTTGTCCATTGACTTTGGCCTCTGAAGGGACTTCATCAAGAGTAGCAGTTTTTGCTGTCTCCACATTTACAACATGCGGGTATTTGTCACCTCTTGGAAGATGTTTAATCTGATAGGGGGAGAAATTCACATTGACATTAGCTTCATAGCTTGGTGATACAATTAAAAACCCCCCCCAAAATGCTTAATGGTTACCTTTGGAAGCTCATTTCGACGCCGTAAGGAAGAGGTACTCCATCCAACAATATCTACGAAAGGCGTTAAGTTCTTGAACAGTCAAAACAGTTGGAATCTGGAATAAGTCTTATCCTAGTGCCTAAAACAGTCAGATCCACTACTAAATCTTCCTTGAATAGTAATGTTCAAAGAGAAAGTATAGTTATGAAATCAACTGACATAGTAAAAGGATACGGTCGAAACTTGCATTTGCATACAGAACACGACGCCTGAAGGACTGCAGAGCAGACCTGCAGTTTGAAGAAATACAACTATAAGTCTGTAATTCACCATCTGCTCTAACATGCTTTAAACTAAATCTAGGAAGCTCATGAAAACTCACATAAATTTAAGATCTTCACAATCGCGAACCATCTGGAGAAGAAGAGGAGGTTTTCCCTCCTTTCCATCAGTCAAAAACAAATGTTTCCCAGTTCTACCAAGAAACCATGATGTGCGAGCAGCAACTCTTTCCAGTGCATGGGAGCCACATAACAATGGAATCTGAATAATGCAAAGCCACCAAAGGAAAATATTACCAACCTCTAATGAAAATATTAAGAATATATGTATTCTTCAACGTTTTATTACTCAATTTTCACTTTCATGTATACTTGCATAAACATGAATTAGTCGTCTCTTACATCAGAACATATTTGAAGACTTCATTTAACTTTAAAAAATTATGCAATTCACTGCTTCAAATGGCATGCAAAAGCAAATTATCAAACGATTTTCAAAGCAACTCCTGATCACATATAAAGAAGCTGGTGAATGGAATACCTGTTTGTGCCACCGAGAACCGAGGTGTGGACTTGCAAATGTTATGAAATTAATAGGCTCTAGTCCAGCAATTTTGCCTTTGAATTTGTTTTCAGGGCATGAATCTCCCAAATGATCAGTTCCACAATCTCCATTTGTTTGAGAAAGTTCTCGAGTGAGATCTTGTTCATAAAGCCGCGCAATGGCATACCTTGCTACAAGGCCACCTAATGAATGACCGACAAAAGATATCTTCTTAACACTTGGGTGACGGCTTCTGACATGTTTAACCTGAAAGATAAACAGCATTCTCCTACCTCAAGTCTGAACTAATAAAAAAACCAAGCAAGCAGTACAGACAATATCGACCTACAGAAGAATACCTAACTCTCAACTGTAAGCAGGAGGTTTGTAAATTAGGAAAATGATGTAAGTTGCATTCATAAATAAAGGAGAGAGAGTTTTGAATATAAAAAACTCATAGCATACCTCCTCTGCTAATCTGTCGCCCATTACATCGACGCCATCGAATGTCAACATTGAAGAATTGCGTTCACTGCCTGCATTGCACATTAAGCATACAGCAATCATTTCATTATGAAAGCCATCAACAATATCAATTATCACAAGTATTATTTTTTGGAAAACACCATAATATTATTATGGCACAAGATATAAATCTTCTGAAATCAACAAAGCAGACAATAAGCTGTAAAACAGGGGATGCAACTAAATCATTCCTACGGAGACTTCTATAGTTCCTTAGGAAGGTTATCATAGAGCAAAACTGAATATGAAAATAACAATTTGCAAAATTTTGATCTTCTGGATTACTGAGTCATATCTCCTTATAAAATTTCTAATAGGTCTAAAGTCTAAACCAAAGGTTAAATCAATTCAAATTTGCCTCAGAGTTGCAAGTTAATCTAAATTACTTTGCAGTATAAAGAAATATTGAAGAAAAAGCTCAACAATCACAATAATTAAGTTGACATTAATCGCTAATTAGCTTAATTATAGATTAAAACAAAGAAATAAATAACGCAGAGAATCATAGAACTCACAGTGAACAATAACATCTTCCGGATACTTCTTCAAAAACTGCTTTGCTGCGTATCTCCAATTCTGAGCACTGTATAAATATCAATTCAAAAATCAGTCAAGCGGTGCCAAATAAATAAATAAATAATCAAAAAGATTAACGGAGATCAACCTGCCTATGATGCCGTTAACCATGATAACTAGATGAGTAGGATCATTACGGTCTCCTGGAAACTCGACTTCCATGTCAACACCTCCGTTCTCATCAGATTCCATTCTCAAGCATCCAAATCTCACCAAACTCGACGATCTTCTCTTCTTCTTCTTCTTCTGCCTCTGCTTCTGCTTCTTCTTGTTATTGCTGTTCTCGTTTCCATCCTTGATCCCTTCTGCATCATCAACTTCCTTCTCTCTTACTCTGCTAGAATCTCCCTCCATTGAAGCTAAAAGCACAAAAAAAAAAACGCAGAGCTAAAGAGAAGAACAAAGTTCTCTCAAGTCTTTTCTTAAGCGAGATTGTAGGCGAGAGTCAGAGCGTGTTAGATTTTGTTGGTGAGGAAGGAGGGAGGGAGCCAAGGCACTCTGCCAAGGCTTAGGTAGCGAAGGTGGGCAATGCGGATCAGCGAGCGGTTTTTGTAGTTACGGGTTTGTTAGCTAAATATGGGGACCGCGGCTCCCCGCTCTTGTTTTGAAGTTAATTGCCCTTGATTTTTCCCGGTTTAATCACGGGATGGTTCGATAGGTTTAGGAGCTCGATCCAGGGTATAACTGGTATTTAGAGGAGGGTTTTGTTCTTTTATTTTAAGGACAAGTAGTAAATATTTTATTCCTTAATGATTCTAGAAAGAGACAGAAATTGACACGTTAATTCCTTAGATTTGTCTTCAATTTTTTAAGCCGTTTCGCCTTAGGCGGCCTTTTTTATAAGTTAAAAATAGTTGGCAAAAACACTGTTCCCCAATTTGGCCGTATAATAAATTTATAGTATTACTAAACTTTAAAAGTTTGTAGCTAAGATTTTGGTGGGGTACGGCCCTAAGGCTGGCCAAATGTTTTACACGGCCGATCAAAGGTCCGCGTACGAGTACCAAAAGCATGACGGTACCAAATCTTAATGTTTGCGTTAATTGGAGTAACCAAGGTGGGGTGTTTCATGTTGTTTTAGATGCCGTCTTAGTACACTTTTCGTAGCACAACATACAAAACATTGGAACTCATGCAACATGTGCCTAAAGTGCTAATTGTCATGTTCTTCCATGTATTAAATTCTTAGCTTTAGCACTCTAGGATCTAGCAGGGTAACTTCCATTGATGGAAAAAATAACTTTTTGTAGCCCTTGTCAACCATATGAAATTTAATTAAACATTGATTAAAAAAAAAAGAAATAAAAACCCATACTTATAACATTAAATGTAGAATCAACGCGCCTTTTTCCAATCACATGCTATGTTGTCTTAGGTCTTATACTATTGAAAAATGGTTAATTAGGTCTGGGTGCACAGGTTTGGTAATAGTTAAAGCAAGCAATTTGTTTGTGTTTGTTATTTGTCTGTGTCTTCTTTTCTTTTTCTTTTTTTTTTTCAAAAGACCAAAAGGAAGCAAAGCATAAGCAGCTTATCCCTTGAGAGCGTGGGCAACGAGGCAAAAGGTCGAGTTAGATGACTTTGGATTTGGTAGATAGGTGTTGGGTGGTTTGAGTGGCTCCTTGTTAATAAGACTTTGCCATGCTTTTTCTAAAACCATTTTTTAAAAAATTAAGTTGTATTAATTAAATATATAAGGTTAAGTAATACTAATGTTAAGAAAAGTACACGGATTAATGTTCTACATAATATATGATGCTTCCATGATCAAACTCTCACTACTTTCCAAGTCTATGCCTTATAATTTCAAAATATCTAGAAGACCTCCAACCTTCTTTTTTGGGGTCAATGGCAGTAGAATGACTCTTCAAAGTTTTATCAAAGTAGATGAACATCTTTCTCTCAAGTCTTTTTCTCTCCCATAACTTATTCTGTTCTATTCATTCTAGTTGTCTATATAATTCAAATGAGTAATGTTATTTTATTCAATATTTAAACCGTCACTGCATACGTATAACAGAAAAAGAATTATATCAATTTAAATTTTTTAAAGTAATTAAATGGTCAATTTAGGACATTTTAGCATTTCTCAAGTAAAAAATTCTAATCCCCTTACTTCCCCTTTCTTTGATTTTTCTCTTCAAAGGTCACACTCACCACAAAAAGTATAAATGCAATAACATAATATTTTTAAAAAATTACTGAAAAATTCAAAAAATATTAAATAATTTTTATTTTTTTCATTAAGTTCAAACATATGATTAATGATTAACTAACTATTATTAATTAAAATTATTTATTAATTTATGTCACGTAATGTTAACGTGACATATTAGATAATGAAAAATTTCAAATTATTATATTATTATGTTATACCACTTTCTACATTAATGTCTAATTAATATAAAATAATAAATAATATTTTAATTAATAAATTAATCAAATATAATAAAAAAGTAAAAATTTATTTAAAATTTATTAAATAATTGAATTTTTTTTTAAAGTATTGTCATACAACAATTACCTGAAAATTAGTAACAAAAACTTAAATTTTCCCAGCCCAAGATGAGAAACCCGAAAAGCCCACCAAGTGCTAGGAAGTACAAAGTAATGGTAATCGCAAAGCATTTGGGCTCAGCGATTGATTGATAGGCCTTATGCTTTCATTTTTTTTTCAGGTTTCTAGAAGTTTCGGAGGAACGACAATTCGTCACTTGCCGGTCTAACAATGGAAACAGAGGAGGTGTAAAGCCAGGGCAAACAGCATGCAGAGGAACAAACATTAACTCCAAAAATGCAAATGCTTCCGACTCAACTCCATATTGAATTATTTGATTAAAACTCCACCAACGTTTTTAAACCTATCTTCCATAACTTTTTGCTCTGCTCCTGACTCAGCTTCAACATTCTTTAATGACGATCTCTAGATGTTTCTCCTCCCACCCCATCTTCATACTTCTGCAACAAAAGGATAAAATAGCATAAATTTTTAAATTTTGGTAAAACTTTTTCCCCCTTTTTCTTACATGCCTATGGAGCCTTTCCAAACCCAGCAGCAGTTCACATTCTGTCATGGAGTTCTTCCTTTTCTCTCTTCCTTTTTGGCATTGGGTTCTCTCTGTAGATACTGTTTTTCTGCCAAATATACCGGCATCGGACTCAGACCCTTCCTTGCCCCTCACCAATCAGGTATTACCCCACATTTCTGTTATGTTGATGCTTTACGTCTTTGATTGTTATTATTAGTTTTTTATGTGAGGAAAAAGTCCGGGCAAAATTATGGAATAAGTGATACCTGCATTACCAGAATAGGAAGTTAAACTAAAAGTTTCCGTCCTATAATTGCTTGCTTATTATTTGACTGTTTAATTTAGAAATCAGCTAGCAAGTAATTCTGACAAATGGTTAAGAAAACCATAATGTATAGAGCAATGCCAATTAAAAACAAATCATAAAGTCCTTAATCATTTCCATCTTTAAGGTATAAAATCATGTCGATTACTCCATACTCACAGGAGAATCTTCAGATATTGCATCCTTCTCTATATGTACTACTTAAGCTGAAGAAGTGAGAGAGTGAGAGATTTATGGCTGCTCCTTGCATATGTTTGTGGATATTGATTTCTGATACATGTATTTCTCTGTACGCACCAATGGAAATAATAACATCATACTAAACCCTACATTTGAGGATGGCCTTGGTACTTGGTCTGGCAAGGGCTGCAAGATTCTTTTGCATGAGTCAATGGAAGACGGAAAAGTCCTTCCATTATATGGAAAGTTCTTTGGTTCTGCAACAAATTGTAGGGAGAGTTGGAATGGGATTGAGTAGGAGATCACGGGAAGAGAGCAACCAAAGCTTGCTTATGAGGTTACTGCTGTCGGTCGGATATATGGTGGGAATGTCCCCAATGCTGGTGTGCAGGCCACATTATGGGTCCAAAGCCCAGATATTCATGATCAGTACATTAGAATTGCAATGTAAGACCCTTTCACCCTCTTGTGATGCAGGATTAGCTTACGATTTCTCATGCATGCTCTGTAAACAAACTGTAATCATTATCTAGTTAGCGATTATAACTATATATGACCTTTATATATCAACAATGTTCAAAATTTTGACCATTGATTGATTCTGGAGAGAATCTTGTAGATTTTGTTACCTTTCACCTATCTCCAGTGGAAAATAAAATGAGCCTATATTGTAGAAACTGGGTTATGGAAAGTTAATAAGCTCAACAAGTCTGGGTAATATACTTTCAAAAAGAGAAATTTCAATGGCATAAGTTCATTCAAATTTTTTTATTGCTTGTCCTTGAGTAAAGATGTGTGTAATTCGCTCTTCACATCCCTCTGATATAACTAGTTTAGGAAAGGTTAGGCATGTAACATCATGTGTCTATACATCTCTATCTTTACCCTTTGGCATTTTGTTTGAGTTACATGAAATTTTATTGTATCATATTACAAGTTTTACTTTATGGTTTCTGATATTAAGAATTTTCTTTACTGTTGCTCGAATTTCTAAATGAAATTAGTTTGTTCTGAAGTTTACAGGCAACGGACAGAGACTGGGTGCAGTTGCAGGGGAAATTCCTCCTTAATGGTTCCCCTTTAAAAGCAATTATATTTCTAGAAGGTCTTCCTCCTGGCACTGATATTCATATTAATAGTTTGGTTGTTAAGCATGCTGAGAAGGTTCCCCCTTCACTTTGACCAATAATGAAAGTTGGTGAACAAGTGACTGCAACTTCTAAAATCTTTTGATTAAGACTTACATGTATAAAATAGTGAGACACACAGACACACATGAGAATATGTTTACACTTGAAATTCAATGTACACTGTTTCTGTAAGCTTGAAATCTGGGTTTTAATTATGGCAAGTTTTTGTTCCCTGGGCTTTTGTAGGGTGAAGCTTTTGGAGTGAATATAATTGAGAACAGCAATCTTGATGATGGGATTAATGGATGGTTTCCTCTTGGTGATTGCACTTTAAGCATGGGGATTGGTTCACTGACTGAACTCCCTCCAATGTCAAGGAACTCCCTTGGACTTCATGAGCATCCAAGTGGACGCTACAAACTTGTAACAAACCGGCCAGAAACTTGGATGGGGCCTGCACAGATGATCAGTGGCAAACTGAAACTCTACTTGACATATCAAGTATCTGCTTGGGTTAGAATTGGTCCTGGATCTACTAGTCCTCAGATAGTCAATGTTGCACTTGGTGTCAATGGGAATTTGGTCAATGGAGGCCAGGTTGAGTTTAATGATGAAAGGTGGCATGAAGTTGGTGGGTCCTTTAGAATCGAGAAGAAACCAAATAATATTATGGTTTATGTACAAGGTCCTGCTGCTGGTGTTGACTTAATGGTTGCTGGACTTTGTATTTTCCCCGTTGACAGAAGGGGAAGGTTGAAATTTTTGAAAAATCAAACTGATAAGGTAATTGCAAGCAGAACTTCATGGTCATTAATCAAAAGGGTGAAAAATGAAAAGCTAAATTCAATATGCTGGCCTGGAGTTTTAGAATATACCATAAGTTTCTTTTAATTGCCTTCTGCTTAAGCTGAAGTGTTTGATTGTCTTTTGTTGAGACAACAAAATTTTGGAGTATCATTGACAATTTACAATATTTAGTACAGTCAGACATGCATGCTCTGGTTGTGGCATGTCAAGAAAAAAAAAATCGTGTGGTCCCACCATCCTTTATGAATCTGACCAGTATTAGGAATAATAAGTAAAAATAGTTTGTTGACACTGACGCTATAGTTCTTTAGGCTGCCAGGACTTGCTATTTTCTCTTCATCTATTGTTTCCAAAATTGATAGTATGATAAATGATGTGAAATTGTGCTTTATTTTCAGATTGATTACATGCCAGTGCTACATTAGTTCATTTGTTACTTGTTTTGCATGCACATCTAACAGCAAACTGCACGAAAAAGGAATCTTAGTTTTTGCAGTTGTAAATGTTCTGTTTCATTTTTCTTTGCTAACGATTCAACCTTCTAATTTTGGAAAATTGGTTTTTATTCATTGCAGATACGTAAACGTGATGTCATTTTAAGGTTCGCAAAATCAGAAGTCATCAATGTCAGTGGTGGTTTTGTGAATGTGAAACAGACACAAAACCGTTTTCCTTTTGGCTCATGCATAACAAGAAGAAGCATAGACAATGAAGACTTGGTTCGTTTTTTGGTGTAGATATCCAATTCTGGTTAACTATTAATTTTAAAGTATCATTTATAGGAAAATTACATCAGGGTGTTTCAGGTGTGGAAGTACACAAGGGCGTTCCAAGCACGGAGCGCCCGGAGTGTTTCAAGTGTAAATATACCTTAAGTTTGGAAGCGTTCGGGGATGTTCCAAGCGCAGATACGCTCAGAGGAGTTCTAAGTGCGGAAGTGTCCAAGGGTGTTCCAAGCGTAGAAACGCCTTAAGTGTAAAAATGCCCATAGGTATTCCAAGTGTGAAAGATGTTCCAAGTATAAAAGCGTCCAAGGGCAGTTCAAGCATGGAAGTGCTTAGGGTGTTCCAAATGCGGAAGCGTCTAAGGTGTTTAAAGCGTAAAAAGCGTTCAGGGTATTCCAAGCGTAGAAAGCGTTCAGAGTGTTCCAAGCACAGAAATGCCTTAAGTGTAGAAACGTTCAAAAGTGTTCCAAGCGTGGAAGCACTTAGGGGTGTTTCACGCATGGAAGCGTCCGGATGCGTTCCAAGTGCAAAAGCGCTAAAAAGCGTTAGTAGCATGGAAAAAGTCGAGCGTTCCAAACGCAAAAACACCCAAAAACAAGCATGGAATAACTGTTTGTACGGAAAAGTGAAAGTAACTTAGAACAAGTGGTAGGATTCATGAGTTATCTTCACATTTGAGACGTTTTAAAAAGTTTGGTTTGGTGGCTCAAGTGTGAAGATAGTTAAGAGAGCTTCCTCTTAAAGAATATGTGTTTTACTTTTTAATTTTTTTTATTTTTTAAGAACACACATGACACACTATCAAGTGATATTATTTTATTAGTCAAAACTTACACTCACTATCTATCTAGGTAGTCATTCTTTTAATATCTCCTAAATTGTTATGCTTTTTCATGACAAGCATGATTTTTCAGGATTAAATGTGTTCTTTTAATTACGTGTTCCTATTCAGTATAAATATGAGTCTTGAAAAATGAAAAAAAATATATTAAAAACTCAATAGAAATTATCATACTATCTCTAGATTCCTCTAAACATTGTTTCTCTTTAACCTTTCCTGTTCACTGTTATCGGTTGCCTCTTTCACCTTTTTCATCTCTCACCATCTATTATCCAAAACACTGGATTGTTTCAATCTTCTTTTCTGTCGCTTGTAACGCATCTCACTTCACTCGTTGCAATATGTTCTCTTTCCTTAATCAAAAAACCATCTACATTGGGTAAAATATTTTAACTGGGTTGTGTTTGGAGATGAATTAAAGTGATCCTGGACAGAACCGCAACAAGGTAACCTTAAGATGCTGATGAGCTCTCGGAATTTTGTAAGAACAACTTGGAAATTCGAGGTCACTGCATCTTCTGGGAGGTGGAATATGCAATACAGCCACGGGTCCAATCACCTAACAAGAGTGGTTTGATTACAGCCATTGAAAACCGTCTGACGTTCTCACACGTTACAAGGGAAAATTTAGGCACTATGATGTAGATAACGTGATGCTGCATGGATCTTTCTATAAAGATCGACTGGGTAAAGATATCCAAGCAAACATGTTCAAAACATCCCATCTACTAGACCCATCCGCCATCCTTTTCGTTAATGATTATCACATTATGGATGGATCTGATGTTAGATCATCACCAGAGGAATACATACGAAAAATTCTTGATCTGCAACAGCAAGGTGCTACTGTGGGGGCATTGGAATTAAAGGACACATGGACAGCCCAGTGGGGCCAACTGTTAGTTCTGCCCTCGATAGGTTGGTTACGTTGGGTCTTCCAATCCGGTTTACAGAGCTTGATGTGTACTCCACCAATGAGTTTGTTAGAGCAGATGACCTGGAAGTAATGCTGCGTGAAGCATTTGCCCAGCCTGCAGTGGAAGGCGTAATTCTATGGGGATTTTGGGAGTTGTACATGTCCAGAGAAAATGCACATTTAGTGAATGCAGAAGGTAAGATCAATGCTGCTGGTAAAAGGCATCTTGCTCTTAAGAAAAGAGTGGTTGACTCATGCTCCTGGTCATATCGATGCACAAGGTAGATTTAGATTTCGAGGCTTTTATGGAACATACAACATAGAAATCAGTTCCCCTATCAAGAAAATCAACAGGACCTTTGTTGTTGACAAGGGAGAATTGCCTTTGGCGATTAACATTGACCTATAGTTTCTTGGACTTGTCTGTGCCCAACATTCATTTGGAATCAGTAGCCAGTTGCTGTTTATTGAATAAAGATAGAATAATCAATGTGAGCTTACAGAAAACAAATAGAAAATTTATGTTCTTGGATTGAATTGTTCTTCGCATTGACATCTTGACATAGGAATATCGACTCCATAATATCTTCTGTGTCTTAGAAATTATTCGGAAATTTTAAACAGCTAATCGTCTCTGGTTTGAAACCTCAAAGTTGTTCAAAGGATGCTACCGTCATTTGGTAAGGCAGATACGTTTCAAGTGATTATCCTAACTTGGTTAAAAAGGCATTAAAGGTCAAACAGGCCATCATAGGATGATTCGTTGTTCCTAGGAACGCTCAATCCCAAAGTTCATTCAATGATGTAATCATTCCTGAAATCCTATGAAGGCATTTCGAACTGGGAACTCTTGGAAGATACATAAACAACAAACACTGCCAATGACCACCGAATGGTTAAACAAATGCCGACAATGACTACCAAATGGTTCTTTCTTTTGCTACCATTGATTTCCTGCTTGTAAAACATATTTAATACTAATTCATTTTCCATAGTATTCTTTTTTTTTTTTTTAAATTCAGAATCGAAATGTCAATGGTTTGATCTCAAATTACTGGATTTAAAACTAAAGCTATGAAAGTTAGTGAAAGCCCATCCCCACCTACTTCTGCCAGCATCTAAAAACATTTGCCTTGTAATCAAAGACTCATAAAATCAAGCTCTGAAGATGAACGTTAAAATCAATGAACAGAACAGAGCATTCCCCACCCCTTGAACCTTCTATTCCAATTCAAGCATAAAAATGCAAATCGGGAGGTTACCCCAGTCTGCAAGACAAAGCAAGTGACTACTAAAATCCCCAATAGTGAACCATTTTTTCTAAAAAACAATTGAAAAGTAGAAGAAA